CCCCCCCCCCCCTCTCTCTCTCTCTCTCCCTCCCCTCTCTCTCCCCCTCTCTCTCAGAACAATATCCTGCCATTTTATTCTCACATTCGTATCAACGTTGCCATTAATATTTATATCGCATTAACACGACGTTAAATGTCCGCTTCATTGTTTATCATTTTTGTCAATATTCATGTCTTTTATCAGTTTGCTCATGCATTTAATAGCTCATTTATTCTTTATTCACGTGCGCTGACAGGTCTCATTCCGCGTACATAAAGTGCGAGTTTCATATTATTGCATAAAAATTAGTGCAATTCAGCAACTCACTCTTCACGTACGTCAATGTATAATATGCAGTTTGCTTTAGAACGAACGTCTCTTAATGATGCGTGAAAAATTATTGTAAATAAAAACACAGAAAAAACAGTACGGTTCGCCTGTGTATAAATTTGGTTCTGCCAGACTCAATAGTAAAATTACTATTGCAATAACTAGATGCAACTGTGGTGTTCACAGCTAAATATTTATAGTTATGTGCATTATATTTTTTTCTTCCATGTGGAAACCATTCGCGTATCAGATTCTGTCTGTCAACTTTGAGAAATCTGTTGTTTTATTTGCAGTGGAAGAAAGTCGGCAGTCGAGGAACACGTTGGCTACAATACAAGAACTCGTGGCGAAGGAAGGGCCGTACGTGTTCGACTATAATTAACGCAAATTTACTCTCAAAGTAATGGCGTGTGTTCCTAACCGCGACGATGACTCGACAAACCTTCTTCGAGGAATTCCGACGAATTAGCATATTGGTCGCGTCAATAACAAATCTTAAAGCGCGAACTGAGCCATATGCGTTTCACCAATATTTTATAGCGTATTATTAGTTTTTCAAACGCGTGCGCGCGATTTAATAGACTTGTTTGATTTCTTTAAGGTGCACGCTATATAGAGGCATCGTTCCTGTTCTGCAGAGCTTGTGTGCCAGTAACTTCGTTTACTTCTACACATTCCACGGTCTAAAAGAACTAAGAAGCAGGAGAAACCAAACTGCAGGAAGTGACTTACTTCTTGCGTCGATAGCAGGTATAATCTCTTATTTACCGTGCACTATCGAAATTTATGTTTCTTTTTTATCTCGCAATGGAGATAAAGAGATATACGTGTATGTATATTCGACAAACGTCGCGATATAGATAAAAAAAAAACGAATTTGTTTATTGTGCGGACTGCTTAGCGTATATCATTAGAATATATGAAAAACAAGCATTTGCTTGTTTGCTTTATTGCTTTCGTCTTTAACTTTTCATATTTCTATCAGGTGTTATCAACGTTCTCACTACAACACCTTTATGGGTCGTGAACACAAGGCTAAAAATGAGAGGAATAGATACCACTCCGGAAAGAAATAACAACGAATACGATACTTTGTACGGTGAGTCTATGAAAATTATTTATCTGCACTGAGAGAAAATATTTGAGAAATAAAAAATATTCATATACGCACACAGTGGGTGATATAATAACATATTTATTTATATAAAATATATTTTTCAAATAAGAATTAATATAAAATATATTTTTCGAATAAAAACATATATACATTAAAAACATTTTCTTAAATCCTTATTATTTAAAGCAATTATTTATTCTACTTAAATTTTCTATTTTCTATATTCTATTTAAATAAAAGAGGTAAAGAGAATTTATCTCTTTACCTCTTTAAATAAAAGAGAATTTATATTCTATTTAAATAAAAGAGAATTTAGATTTAAGCAAATATGTTAGCATTGCAAAACACATAATATATTTTTGCGAAGATAAGTAGAATGAGCCTTATCATGTAAAATGGAAAACTAGAATATTCTGTTTAAAGTTACATATTTGCGAGCGAGTAGATTATCTCGATATTCGAGTGTATCTCTAACTTTATCTGACCTCTTTAATTAAACCGAATGATTAAGATCCGTATTAATAGCCATACTTGAAAGTTATTCTATATGAAATACTCAAATCTGAATTTAGAGTTAGATGAGTTTTTTTCATTTGAATTATATAATATATGTAACACATCACATAACATTATATTTTTTTTGTAATAATGATTCAGTTAAAAACTCAGGTCTGACTTTAAGTTAAAATATGAGTATCTCATCTGAGGCAAGTTTCAAATAATGACTATTAACGAACCTAAATCTGATCTGACATTGTTTTCTAAAGCTGTTTTTAAAAATATATGTTTTATCGCTAATCATTAGTATTATTAAAAGCTTTTTACTTTTTTAACTTACACATACTTGTAAGTTAATGAATATACAATATACAATTCACGAGATCAACGAGAGACTTGCAAATAGTATGTCAACAAATATCAATCATTTCCCGACGGATCAAATTATTTTTTTGTTTGCACCACGTAATAATTCAATTATTTTTTATTTAACTCGATAAATAATTTAATCGATAAATTTAACTAAAAGAAAAAATAGAGAACATCCTTCAAAGTTTTACAGATTTCCCTCAAGCGAAATTATGTTATGTTGCGTTAGCAAACATGCGGAGCCGACTTTCCTTTATGTACTTTAAGTAATGGTTTACGATTTTTTCTTACATCACATTATGTTCAACAGATGGACTCGTGCACATATGGAGATACGAAGGATTGCAACATCTCTGGGCAGGTACGCTGCCGAGTCTGATGCTAGTCGTGAATCCCGCAATTCAGTTTATGACATACGAGAGCATTAAAAGAAAAATCAACGCGTCTCTCGGCGATGCTTCGCCACCGGCGTGGGTTTTCTTTACCATCGGTGCGATTGCGAAAACGATCGCCACGTCGCTCACGTATCCCCTGCAGCTTGTACAGACAAAGCTAAGAGTGAGTAGAAACAAAATACGCTTTCCATGTATCTTAAAATAGAATTTAGACGTGTGCGTTATCGCGTAACATTAATTCCTCAATATTGCGATTTTTCAGCACGGACATAAATATCCTAATCTATCTCCAAACGCAAGCACTCTGCAAATATTATTTTACATTCTAAAGTAAGTGCACGATATATCTCTTTAAATTTACTACAAAAAATAAATATTTTTAAAAGCAAAAATTACTTACAAAATTTTGTAACCGAGAGAGAGAAAGAGAAATAGACATTTTGCAATAATTGACCTTTCATTTCATATGTGCTATTCAAAAAGTTGTTATATTTCTAACAAAATTTACTATGTTTTTTGGCAAAATAAACATTATTGACAGTCTATTCCTGCACTATTAGAAACAATGAAATCGAAAAAAATTATATGAAAAATTAAAATTATAAAAAATATTCTTTCTGTATGCCTGTGTTAACATACTTGTGAAAATGTTGGTAATAATAATAATGTTTTTGCAACGTAGAAAATATAATAAATGTCTTGTAAAACTTTTGTAATGTTTGTAGAAAACAAGGGATGCGTGGCTTGTATAAAGGGATGGAGGCGAAGCTGTTGCAGACCGTCTTTACAGCTGCCCTGATGTTTTTGGCCTACGAGAAAATCGCGCGATTCGTTTTCCGTATACTTCTGCACAGGCCCGTGCTTAGATAACGATTGTAACGTCGTAACGGCGAAATGAATTTAATATGATTTGAATTGACATTTCAGTCTTCAGGTCAGATCTCTTGGGTCGGTATTCATGGTTGTCAATTACCCGCAAGCTGTGGTTAAAAGCGTAATTAATTATATATTTGTATTCATAGGCTATTAGAATCAATATTCCACTTGAGATAACTGTATAGAACTGATGAATAATCAGAGTTTCACGAAGCTATTACTTGTCAAATAACAACGCACTATGAATACCGATCTTCCAATCCTCTTAGTGAATATTATTTTCTCCGCAAAATCTCACGTAAAATATACGTAATAATTTGACGCGGTAATAGTGGGGTTTAGGGGATCCACCTCCAATGACCTTGATCTTCACATATATTATAGAGGTCATCCTCTTGAATACAACCTTCTGAAGGTTTTAGCCGTCAGTCGTTGTTCGTTAAAAAGTTATTAACAAAAGAAGTTGCATAAAATGAATGTAATTTTTGGACACCGTATATACTAAAACATCGAATTTATAGGCTAGGAAGGTGCTTGCTACACACACATACACACACTGCTCGCCTGCACGCGCGCTCGCCCGGGCGAGCAAACTGTGTGTGTGTGTGTGTGTGTGCGCGCGCGTGCGTGCGTGCGTGCGTGCGTGTGTGTGTACGTATGTAACTGAACGTAACACACGGCTTCCAAATTTTCAACATTTGTATGAATTTCTCAATATAACACGATTCCTTGCTTTTTTTTAAGGAAAAACATGAAATATATGAACAAATATTTTATTGATGAATTGGTGTGACAGAAATATTTTTCGCAAGCACGCACGCACGGGCGTAATTAATGTATCTTTTTTGTGAATAACTTTTTAACAAATAATGAACGCTAGTTAAAACCTTTTGAATGTTACTCAAAGTAGTAGCAGACACCTTCCTAGCCTATAAATTCGATGTTTTTATATATACGGTGTCCAAAAATTACATCTATTTTATGCAACTTCTTTTGTTAATAACTTTTTAACGAACAACGACCGATGGCTAAAACTTCTTGAATGTCACTCAGAAGGGTGTCCTTTGTAATATATATCAAGGTAGAAATCATCGGAGGTGGGTCCCTAAACCCCACTATTACCGTTGACGCTATATAAATCGATATATTCGTATAAATCGATCGATTTGCTTGCATTGTTTAAATATTAGATCTTTTTTTTATTAATTTTTCCATTCTCTCTCTATAAATATGATTTACACACTTACATCGTCATTATTGATGAAAAAAAATTCACATCGAGATGACTACAAGGGAATCGATTGAATTAAACAAAGTGTATACGAATTGAAGTGGTTCAATAATCGAGTTGGCGTTGAAACGCGCGATCGGTAATTTTATTGCGTCCGATGACATCGCGGCAAGAAAACGAATGGTTAGCCGGTTGGAGGAAAGTATCTGTGGAAATATCTGATGAAAAATGTGAACGTATCCGCGCGATATACTGGCGAATTTACGAAAACCACAGCTTCGCATTCGATCGCAATTTCGATACAAGTTGAGTCACTTAGTGTCGCCGCTTCTACTGACGCGAAAGGCAAACGCGAGAAGACAGCAGGATGAAGAGACAGAGCGCATAAATAACAGCGCGCGTCGCGACAGTTGCCGCAAAGTCGATCGCAAGCGATCCGAAGCGCTATTGAAACTCCTCTCCAAACTTAAAATACGCAAATCACTTAAAAGTCAAACTCAGCCCGATGCTTGCAAGTCCGCAATTTTCACGTGAGTGCTAGTAAATGGAACTTTAACTTTTCTCATTCTATCTACGAATTTACAAAATATTTTAATTAGTAATAGTTTTTAGATATTATTGTACCTCGCATTTTCAATGCTAAATATGTCGCAATAAGCGTTCGGTATGCTGTAATATTGTTGGATATTAATTTATTATACTTATCACTGTAACCAAACTTTTATTAGGACGAAGTCGAAATATATAAACAAAGAATGATCCAGTGACAGGGATAATTGATTTTAGATATAACGTCAGTCATGCTAGAGACACGATGAACCCATTATCACAACGCAGCACACGCGAAAATACAATCAGCGGGAAGCCAGCCGACTCAACGGCCATCGCAAAGAGTAAACCTGAAGCAAAGGCAAAACCCACGGTCGTGTCTTACGATTACGAGGCGGCTATTAGTCAGCCTGATATTCCCACGTGTTCGGAAATTGATAACGATACGCGAGAGACATGTCTAGACGTATCGCCAGCACTGAACGAGAGGACCAGTTTTCTTTCTACTTGTGGCAAGATAAGCGTGACGATTAAAAAAAGAGGAATTGGGATCAGATCGAAAGTGCGACCGAAGAAAATAACAAAGGCTCGCGCACAAATTCGTGATGTCATTGAAGTTAAGAGAGAACCGAAATTTTGTACGAATATTTGTCCAGATGTTATTACAAATCAAGATGCGTCGCCTATTAATCACCAAGTTTGTCCTAAAAATGTTCAGTTACACTTATTGGTTTCTCACAAATTGTAAAAAAAACTCACAAACTTGCATTATTTAGAAGGAATTGACAAAGACGGGAGACATTCGAAAACAATCAGAAACCGCGGTAGATAAAAACAGACTTGAGAGCAAAGCTACATGTAGAGAAACGGTAAATTTACGCAAGGATGGAAATCCTGACGAAACCATCGGAAATGCGAGATTATATGATTCGCGAAACAAGGCCAGCAAAATTCCGCGCATGAAGCCTAACTTCTTTTTGCCCATAGATGAGGAATCCCGTATTTATCCGGTATAATTACGCACACACACACACATATATATATATATATATATATATATATATATATATATATATATGTATGATCAGAACATTGATATAAAAAACGTTAATTAATTCTTATCATATTAATTCTGATCATGTACAGAGTATAAAATCGCCAGTGAAAAGTCGATTAAAAGGCACTTCAGATATGAAATCGCCCGCATATAACGAGGAGGAAAAATGGTCACACCAAGTATACGTGTGCAAGTAAGATAAAACCGTAATTAAAAGGATAATTGTACCGGTTGCTTATCTTTATTTATTTTCGCAGATTTTTATGAGACAGTAAAAATTTTTTTGCAAATGTAAAGAATTAAAGCATCATTAATTTTTTATTCTTCTATAATTGTAAATTTTAATCAAATAATTATTTAGTGGAGTTAATAATCACTCACTGATGCATTTATTCTGTCATTGTAATCGACTAGTATATAGTATGTCAAATGATTCATATTTATACTTGCACGCGCGCCCATTATTTTCATGACGCGATAAATAATATGTATTTATGCATTAAATAAGTCACGTATCGATGAACAATTTATCCCGACACTCAACTTTAGCGAATCGAATAATATCTCAAAAAAGGAGATTTTGGATCGTCATCAAGAGTCGAGAGCCGTAAATATCGCGCGAGTTGTTCGCGGAAATTCAACGTAAGTCTAAGAGCTCGGATTCTCTTACACATTTGCGTTAGTAAAATTTCGCAAACATTACATAAAGATACATTGTATTCAGGAATCTCTTTCTCGAATCTTTTGAGAAAAGCTCAGAAGCTGACATTGACTTCGAAGAACTCGAGGCAGATCTGCCGATGCTGACAAACGAATCGCCAATTATCATAAGCGCTGACGATGTTCCGCGTTCCGCGAGCATGAAAAGCTTCCCGTTAAAATGCGAGTGTCATTCACGGGGCGATCACAAATACACGTCCGCCATTCGGAAAGGTCGATACACCGAAACGGATTATAGCAGTTCGTCGGAGATGGAAAGCACCGGAAGGTTGTTCAAAGTGTTTACTTCGCGAAATATGAAGAGAAAATACGCGATCTTTGAATTGCAATTTATGTACATATACGCGATGATATTTATGGTAACTTTTTCGCAGAAAATCGATGGGAGACAGTGAATTCACCGACATGAGCTCCGAAGACACGGATCTGCTGTCGGATTACGCCGTCAGCTACAATCGCGCAAAAACGAACGGCAGGAATAAGGAAGCGTCGAGGCACACGTGTCGCGTTATGAAATCGTCACTTCTAACAAATAATTCCGCAAGAATGAGAACGAGTTTCTCTTTTTTCAATGTCTTTTTCGATATCGTTTTCTGGCCGTTCATCCTCCTCCGAACGAAACAATAATCACGACATTGTTAACGACGATAGAAATACATACCAGGTCTGTTCGTTTCCGAAGAACTTCTAAACTAATGCAACAAGTTAGAGTAAGACAAGTATACTTTCTTCCATTCTAACTTATTGAATCGCACTAAAACGTGCATTAATCCAAAAGTTCTTTTAAAATAAACAGATCTATTATATTGTTCTGTCTTGCTTTCTCATGCACTGAAAAAAAGAAAGATGGTAGAATTAATGAGACACTTTGCTTAAACAAATTATATCGTTGCTGCGATGAAAGTTATCAATTAATTCAATGGTTGCGATTTAGTTAGTACTTATATCAACGCGATTATTATTGCACTAACGCGTAATTTTTGTTCAATAGACACAATATTTTTTGAAAGCAGATAACCGCCGATTCTGTCGATCCAACTGCTTTTTTCTCAGTGTATGAAAAGTAAGATGGAAACATAAGGAATAACTATACTTGTGTAATTTCTGCTTTGTCGACTCACCGATTTATCTTCCGCAGATCCAAAGCGTAGAAGCGTGGCGATTTGAAATCCGAGTATCCACAACGTGATGTCGCTCCTCTTGTCCTGACGGCTCGTCGTCCCACAGGATATTCACTTTCCACGAGCCTTCACCTGACGTCTTCTCACATGCACATACAAAGTTTATTTTTCACGACAATAGTTTGCACATATTTTCTTTCAATGAAATGTAAAGGCCGACTTGAATTTCGAATTTGGGGCAACAATGTCTTCGACACTCCCGATTATCCGAAATATTCATTTTCATCACGGCTGCTCAACATCTTACTACACAAACGCGCGAAACTTTTGGCGATAATCGCGCGCGACATTTAATCTTGATAAGTTCCCTTCGAGTCCGAGCGTCCGTACTGTCATCTGTCGGTAGACTGACGCGTTCTATTGCAACGATTGCGATTCTCGAAATGTCGAGCGCGCCATACTTCACCCCGTACCCCCGATCGCGGGATATTTCCTATCCATGATTTGCAGTATTTTACCACGACGAATATGCGACAGTTACTTTTGGCACTCCCGACAGTCACTCACGCATGAGACTACTTAGGCAAATCGAAAATATACGATATAGCTCAAATTCCAAATAGCTATAACCCTACGATCGCGCGATGCTTAACACGACACTCCCGACCGCGAGACGTTCATTTTCGACGATCGCTTGCCACGGTATTTTGCCAAATCCAACGAGCCAAACTTATTCTCAGCACTCTCGGCTATAATTTACGCGCGAGACTCGACTCCGGCGAGCCGAAACCGCGAAAAATACGGGACGACTTGTCGAGCACGTAATGTCCTCTGCGCGTCGTTCCTTGACTAATTGAGCATAGCGGCAATTGAGTTTCTATGGCCGGTATTCATAGTCAGATCTTATATTTAAGACCGTCTTAAATTCACCTTCAGATATTCCATAGCCAATGAAATAATCCGTACAGCATCTGAAGATGAACTTAAGATGATCTTAAATATAAGAACCGACTATGAATACCAGTCTATAATCACCGACGCGCTTACGCGATGTAAACTGACCAATCACCATGTTCCCTTTGCCATTCAAATGTTGCGCATGAGCGAACTCTTGAGATAGCACTCATGACCAAAATATTTATGATTTTGCTGTAACAAGTCTAAGAAATATACCTTCGATATTATTCACATGGCTATATTTTCCATACAAAGCTTTCTTTCGCTCAATCGAAAACGCAGGTCAGCGTACTGTGAACATCGAGCAATCCTAATTCTGTTGTCGCGCGATATTTTGCACAGCATTCCTGACTACGAGATGTTCATTCTCGGCGACCACTCCATGGTATTTTGTCTAATTCAACGCGCCAAACTTATTCTCAGCACTCGCGACTATGACACACGCGCATGGCTCAAGTTCGACGAGCCGAAACTGCGAAACGACTTGTCCAGTATGAAATGTGTACCGCCGCCGTTCCTTGTCTAATTGAGCATGGTGACAATTGAGTTTCTATAATCACCGACACGCTTGCGCGACGCGAGCAGACCAATCACTGTGCTCTCTTTGCTGTTCAAATACCGCGCATGTCAAATAGCGAATGCTTGAGATAGTATTCGCGGCTGAAATATTTGTGATTTTGCTGTAACAAGTCTACGAAGCCTACCTTTGATACTATTTTGATGACTATCTTGCGCACGAGGCGCAAGTTCCTTCGGTCGACCGAAAGCGTAGATGTAAGCGAAAGTGTGATGTAAACATCGGGTACTCTAACTCTGTGATCGTGCGATATTTTACACGAGATGTTCCTGACCACGAGATGTTCACTTTCGGCGGTTGCTCAACGATGCCTTACCATCTCCAACTTCCTTTCGATTCTTCTGACTATAATTCACACGCGAGGCTCGTCTTTGACGAGCCAAAATCACAATGAATACGGTACGACTTGTCGAAAATGAACTCGTTTTTTAACTGATTGCTGTTAGAGGGCGGTAGCGCGCGGCGAGTTTTCGAGTCATCTATTAACAGTCTTGCATATTATTTTGCCCATGGCTGTTTATTTTCATTATCTCTGATCGTGAACAGCCGTTGACACGCAAAACATTTTATAGAAGTTTTATATAATTTTAACGAACAGAGAAAAAAATAATATATTTCAATTAACTACTTAAGTAAAATGGCATTAATGGCAAGAATCTCGCAAGCAAACATCGTGCAAGCCACGAAAAAACATACGGCCACAGTATTTTTTTTCCACGGTTCTGGTAAGATAATTATTTTCATGACGATTTTGTAATAATATCAATGAGAAAGCAAATATATAACAAAATTATTAGAACACAGCAATACAATTGCGATTTATTTTGCAGGTGGCACAGCAGAGGATATGAAAGAATGGATTAATATATTTACTAAAGAAGAACTGCAATTTCCACATATAAAATTAGTTTATCCAAGTGCACCCAGTCAACCTTACACACCTAATGATGGGATGGTAGTGTGATGTAATGATTAAAATTTAGAATACATAAAAGAAACAGTTACTAATAGAAGTAATACAAATGTGTATTTAGTATCTATTCCAAATTCAAGCAAATAATATATACTATAATTTCTGGAAGTAAAATATCAAAGTTTTTGGAGAAATTAAGATTTAAAGAAAAACTTGTTCTTATATTTCTTTTTTATATAATATTTTTCAAATTTAAATATACATTTTATCAAAATTTTGTTACAGTTGCAAAATGTATGGTTTGACCGTATGGCGATATCTAACCAAGTACCAGAGAATGTAAAGTCAATTGATTTTATGTGTCAAAATGTATCAAAATGGATTGAGAAAGAAGTAACAAATGGCATTCCCTATAATAGAATAATCTTGGGTGGTTTCTCAATGGGTGGTGCTCTAGCGTTGCATTTAGCATACCGATATAAGACAGGAATAGCTGGGTGTTTCGCTATGTCTTCTTTTTTGAATAAGGGATCTATAGTGTATGAGGTATTTATTTATACAATAATCCATCACATTGTTCTTATATATGTCCAAGTTGAAAAAAATACAGAAATTAATTTTCAACAATTTTAGTAAAATTTAATAACTTTGTTATAATATATATTGTTTTATTTTTATAATTGTTTCTCTTGTAAATAGTACATTTTTTGTATGTAATTTCTATATATATAATTGCAGCATTTGAAAGCAAATCCAGAAAATAGAGTACCACTTCTTCAGTATCATGGTACAGCAGACACTTTAGTTCCTGTTGAATGGGGTGAAGAAACTGCAAAGAATCTCAGAGAACTTGGTGTGAATGTGAAATTTGTATCGCTGCAAGATATGGATCATGAGTTGAATCGGCCAGAAGTGCAAGGCTGGAAAGATTGGCTTCTCCATATCTTACCAGACAAATAATATAGTTAATTGTCAGTTAAAAAAATTAATACCAATATTCTTACCATACTACATTCTATGGTGCAAAACAGTGCAATATTGTTGCATTTATTTTTAGATACATGATAGTAATAAATCTTGTCAAAGTAAAGCCATGGATTACTTCTCTTGTCGAGTAGAACGATAAATTTGAGATAGACCTTGACTCACAAGATGACAAGGAGTGTATCGTGATTTCATGATATTATGGATCATCCTTACATAATTACAGTGCCGGAAGTTCAAAATAATGTTTAGTCACGAGATCGATAAATTCTTCTTGACCTTTGAGATATTAAAATTACCATTTTGCATCTCATTGTGTTATTGTTTCTCAAATAAGTTAATATTACTTCTTTAAACGCACGTGATATCAAATTATTGGATAACAGAAAAATGCCAAAGTCCGACATAATTAACGCGCAATTGCACGAAACGCTTGCCCTCAGACTCTATGAATACCTCCTCTATTAAGTAAAACCGGGGAATTTGAATAAAATCGATGCTATCCGCTTGACCCCCTTTTTACATGAAACGAACGAGCGTGCTTGTATTGTCGGTTACTTGCATTTATTACGTGCCTTTGCCATGAGCAATCTTCCGTCTACATCAATTTGTTTTTCAATTTTTTCATTTTGGTAATATTGGCTTGCTGACACACCAAATTAATTGATTTTTTATATTTATGAAATCTATCCTTATAAAAGAATGTCGGGACTAGCATCTATTTTGGTATTCTTTATGTTATAAAATCTTTCAGTCGATCTAATCAATAACCAAATCCTCATAAAGTAATAAATCGAATTTTTGAGGATTTACAGAGCTCCAGATCCTTGCATCCTAAAAGTCCTTGGATTCCGAGTTTCCTGGATTAGATCCCAGAAGTTTTGGATCTGCAGAGTGAGTTTGTTCGAGTTGCGTCTTAAAAATGAGATGGGGAGAGAGATGTGGCGGTGCAGACTAGTGGACGCTGAGACGTTTAACTGTCGATGCTATGGAAAAAAGTAGGTCCGCAGTGACGATGCAGGGTAGTTGCGATCGCGCTGACCTTTCATTTCATTTCTGCTGGTCTTATATCTTGAAACTTGGCACTCGTCGTTGCTGTTTCTCTAGTTGTACATATACATTTTGAATTCGTACATATATACATAGATATCGTACATAGAAATCGTACATATATATTTTGCGCAAGAACGGTATTTGTAGATATGAGCTGAAACACGCACTTAAACAGCAGACGCATTTTAAGTAGCGCGCCAACTTTATAGATACTCGCGTTATTCAATTTACATTATATTTTTCTTATTAAAATCCACTTATTTGATTTCTGTCAAAATTTTTTAGGGCTGTTCGCTTTGCTCAAAGATGTAATTTTGTTTGCATCAAGCTGCATTTGAGATACGGGTTGTACATCCTCCTAGTCTCTTTCTTCTTTTCTGGCACATGCACCGACACGCGTGCGACGAGAGTGAGGAAGGTGGAATCACGTCGACGAATCCACCGCCAACGACGAATGCGCAGTGAAACAAACTGGGCAAACTGCGACGGGGTTGCTGCGCCCCTCAAGCAGTCCTTGGGGGAGGGTGGCTAGCAACATACTGGTCTGACATCGCTCTCACCACCGACGTCGCGTCGTGACACCGACATCCATTTTTCGTCGCAGTATCGACTCGCGTAAGATATAAAACGCACGCTATCACAGTTATCAATTGTGATACGAAACACCTTGCGAGCGCTGGCGTGCGTCTAAAGTGGAATCGATGTTTGACGACGACGAGCTCGCGGAGGGTGTGCGCGAAGCAGAAATGGGTTAGTGCGTGTTCTTCGAGCCAAGAATATTGTCCCGGAGAAGAAAAATTTTTAAAAAGAAGGAGGAGAACAAAGGGTACAAGGCTCGTAATATAAAATGTGAAATCGATACTCGACGAGCGTAAATCGCGACGAAAGGTTTTTTGAGACGAAAATACAGTGGAACAATGTGTTTTTCGATCTAAGGATAATTATAAAGGAAAGAAGAATTTCAAGAAGAAAAGGGAAGAGAAGCTCAGAAGTGGACAGTTCGCGAATGTGCCGTTAAATTCATCACGGTAAGTGCAACTTGGATGTGACGCTAAAAGTGCATCTAGGTCATCGAGTGAATCTTTTGTTGGCGAGCAGGATAAGATAAAATTTCATCATATTCTACAAACAAAGAAGAAGAGAAAGAAGCCTGAACAAGAAGAGAGACATAGGACAAAAATAATTTGCAACATTTATGAGAACCTATTATACACCAGGACTAAATGATTTTCCTGGATGATGATACAGATACACATAAAGAACCATGGTGATACAATGAGTGTGAAAAAACTCATAATTAACAAGGTTTGTTATTGTTAATTAAATTATATTTACGCACGTGCGCGTGCTCGTTCAACAATATATATAATAATTAACATATCACAATATATATGCGTCGATGTGTTCGATGGTACACAAATTGCTGTAACATCAATAATCGCGTAGGTTGCCAAGTCCCACGAGAGCGTCAAGAATATACCGAGGAGTGCGCTACGAGATGCAACGTAGAATTGTCTGATAAATAGAGCGGGATAGTTAATTAAATTAACTCGTTGAAAGCGACACGATAAGAGTCAGGTGCGATAACATCGCAATCGATCACAGTCAGTATCGCAATGACGTTTCCTACGTCGAGAAAGCAACTTCTCGGAATCATCTTCCGGGTGCGTCCTAGGACGCGCCGGTGAACGTTCAGCGTATCGATGGTAAATAACATGGCGTGTGTTAGCCCGCAGTCGATGACGTCAAGGACCGAGGGATATGTCGATGGTTCGATGTAAAGAGGGCGGGTAACAAAAGCGAGTACAACGAAATTTCCCAAAGGACGAAGAACAAGGTTTCCCGACAAGCAAAGAGAGATCGTCGGTCCGGCATGGAAATTGGAAGTGTGAAAAACATTTTCCAGACAGTCGAGAGTTATCGCGAAGCTATCTTGTTAATTGCAAAGTGACTGCGTTTATTTTGAACATTTAAGAAAAGAAAGATAAAAAAGTGAACGACCAACTTGAAGGAGAATATAAAGCCAAAATATTAGTTAATAAATCAGCAAATCTTTTTTCTCGATTATTAATATGTAAAAAACTTGAAGATCCTGAAGATATGTGAGAGACTTGAACTTGAACTCTTCATTGAAGTGTGAAGGAATTGAGACAATCTCAACATATTTTTCTTTCCTGGATTTTAAAATTTCTTGACGATTTCTCTCACGCTCTCTGATAAATGTGAAAAGATCCTGTTCATAAAATAGGAAAGGATCTTTCAATCGTTTCATCGTGCATTTTTCATTTGAAGATCTTTTCAACAAATAGGGTGTTAGATACATGAGATCACGTATCATACCGGAGAAATAAATCTTAAAGAGTGATATAGCGTTTGGAGGGATTGTACGAACTATCTGCTGCGGGGTTGGCGAGAAAGACAGGAAAGCCTCTCGGTGAGGTCGCGACGAGTATCGTACCCGATTGAGAAATAGAGATATCGCCGGAACCGAAGAGCAGCAGGTTGATACACAAAGTGGGGACATTGTAGAAATGGGTCAAGAGTGTCTTGGCGATGGCAGCGTAGCAGCCTCCACTTGACGCGCTCCGCGTCGAATAGATCGCGAGGAATCGACGCGAGTGCTATATCGAGTGCCATCGCGCGAATTAAACTCGAGCAAAGGGAGTCCGCTCTTGCAATCTACGAATCGCGGACGAATCGTTCGTACGTAATACACGGCGTAATCAACGTAAGTTTGTAAACTATGATTCTTGATGTTTGTCGTATTGAAAATTGCATTCGCGACATACCTCAGATGATTAGTGTAACACTCATATTCACGAAAAACACAACGATGTTGATGTCCACGAATTAACTGGTCTTCGCACTATAGCGCGATCCGCTGGAAGAACAACGAGATTGTCAACGAAGTTAAGGCACCCGATAGTCGATGCGCCCGATGTGCTCCACGATATGTCACGAGGAAGATGCTTCATTCACTACGACATATCGTCGATCTGTATGCTGAAGCCCGAGCTTCGATGTGATCGCGTCACTGTTCCTCTCGAGGAGACATAATCTCTTCTTTCACAAGGGATCCTCAGAAGGATCCGACAAGCTCTCAATTATTTTCATGGTTTACGGATCACGTAGAGTTACGGAGTCAGTTACCACGGGGATCGCTTGGCTTCACAATATCACCAATCAAGGTAATCAACTAAATATCATTTTAACGAAATCAATGCACTTCAGGCATAGAACAGTCGAGAGATAATTCGAGTAATTTCGTAACTTCGTTATTCATAATACGACACTTGTCAACATCAATTCGCGATTATGATGAAATGAAAATATTTATGGAATGACCAGTACACGGCTGGCAAGGTTTTGTAATTGCAGATGTAGATCCAAAAATGCTCACGATGTATTTCCGTGATCATTAAAGAAACATCAAGAACGGTACATGAATTTTATAACGAATGACAGCGTTAATAATTATCCGATACTGCGTCATGGAATATGAGTATCAATATAACGTATTATAAAGCAAGCAACGACACAATCTCCGATATGGGTCACACAAATCAAGCTCGCTGAAATAACAACAATGTTGAGTATTTTTCATTCTTTTGCATGCACGTGTAAGAGCAAAGACCAGCGAGTATAATTGTAACGTGTGTCATACAAAATTTACAGATACATGCGAGAAGCAGACGAATTGTTATTCCTCTCGATGATATGCAAGCAAAACACCGATAAGGGTGTTTACTTAGATTGCGTGATCTTTTTAAAAAACTACCTACGCAGTTTGTTATTATTATAGCTCGTTCTTCGCGTCTTCGGCGACTGTATTTAACGAGACTGTATTGAACGAGAATGAATATATTAGACAGCAATATACTAATAAATGTTATAACGAAATTAACGACTTAAGTATATTCCTAATGGGTCTTTTATAAGCCTTCTACAATAAGACATTAGTTATAAGTCGTAGGCAAATTGATCAAACACAGTCGATTATTTAAAAAAATAATCGACTGTGTTTGATCAATTTGCGACTTATGACTAATGTCTTATTGTAGAAGGCTTATAAGAGACCCATTAGGAATATACTTAAGTTGTTAATAACTAATAAATGTTATAACGAAAATATTATAACGAAATTAACGACTTAAGTATATTCCTAATGGGTCTCTTATAAGCCTTCTACAATAAGACATTAGTCATAAGTCGTTAGGCAAATTGATCAAACACAGTCGATTATTTTTTTAAATAATCGACTGTGTTTGATCAATTTGCGACTTATGACTAATGTCTTATTGTAGAAGGCTTATAAAAGACCCATTAGGAATATACTTAAGTCGTTAATTTCGTTATAACATTTATTAGTATATTGCTGTCTAATATATTCATTCTCGTTCAATACAATCTCGTTAAATACAGTCGCCGAAGACGCGAAGAGCGAGCTATAATAATAACAAACTGCGTAGGTAGTTTTTAAAAAGCCTATAAGAGACCCATTTAGGAATATACTTAAGTATATAATTTATAAATAATAGCTTATTGTAGAAAGCCCATTACTGATTTCGCGTCGTTTTTAGTTAAAGAGAAATTTATGCCACGCCATACAACAACGATAATATACGATATGCTGAACACACAACTTTCCTGTTATAAATCATGAATTAATCTCACAAATCGTCGTATTATGATTGAACGACGGTACAACTTGACAATATCACTTTCTCAGCTCCTCGAAACTAGTCAACTTCTTATCAACATGCGTTTACGTTTTTTTTTAGTAATATCTTTAATCAGAGTGCTGTCGCTCGTAGAGATTAGACGATTATTGTTAAACTTCTTTACACGCGAGCGCGATTGATCGACTGGCCAATGCCTGCCCTACTCTCGCTGGCAATGATGTAATATATTACGACGCTTCAGAAAATGTCACTTTCACCATGTGTCCATCATTCGACCAGGACAAAAACTATGAAATTCGGTCTATTAGCATAAGAGAGAGCCCACACGTGACAGCGTTACCACTTGAGTTTACATAAGACTTATCGTTATTCATAGATCTTATACTAAGCAGCAAGTAATTCGAATTTTATTTTTTCCGATATAAGTATAAAAAAATAATACGGTAGCGGATTCATGAAAATGTTTAATTCATATCTAAAGATGATTCACAAAACTATATATTGTCACTTGTTATGATAATTAATGATTTGTATAAATTAACGAACATTTTTCCATTACTTTCATCTAATTTGTAGAATAAAGAGCATCGAGAGTTGTATTAAGAACGTGTTGACAAGCTCTACTTTCATCAGTTTGGATTTCTTGTTCAATTAATAATCTGTGAATAATTGAGGATACAAAGCTGTCTCTGCAAATTAAATTTCAGTGACAAGAATTAATTAAGAAGTTAATTAAAAAGTATATATGTGAAAGGTAAGAAGTGAAAGTTGATTCGTTAGAATCAACATACTTCACGTAATCATTTCAAGTCTCATTTATGGAGCAGGACGCTGTAGACATCAGTAAGGGGAGAGATAATTGTTGTTACTGATAAAATATTAACTGATTGTAGGCGAGATGAGTAGCAGCGGTGGGTTTGGTGTCGGCGTTGGCGTCGCTGGTGGACCGACCCTCGCAGCCGCCCAACAAGGCCAAGGAGTGGCTGCCCTCCTGGTGATGCTCGCCGTCCTCTGCTTCATTTTCGCTTACTGTTGCTGGGGCGCGCCGTTCTGCCGCTCGTTATGCAGACGGCATTGCTGTTGTCGTTTGGAAGACCCCGAACCGGACCCACGATTCGGCGGTAGCGATCAAGCCATGGTAGCGACGCCAACCATCATCCTTCTGCCGCACGGCAGGATGTTAGTCGTCGACGGCACGATTTTCACGCAGTTCCAAACCGACCCCACGGGTAAAATTTAGTTTTTTACCTCTTGCAGCTTCATTAAAAAATGTCGATATATCTTTTCAAACATATAAAACGATTTGTTTCTTGATAGGTTTGGACTTGGTAGAACTGGGTGACAGTGTGCTACGCGCACAGAGAAATCCACGAAGTGTGAATCGTCATCAGCTGCAAAGTAGCCAGGGTAGCATTGAAATGGATGCCGAGACACCTAGTAAAGATAGCTTAGGATCTATCGGATGCTTCCCACCGCCTACTTATGAAAGCATTTACGGCAAGGAAGAGACGGATATGCCTCCCTCTTACTCTGACATTCTCTTGCACCGGTACATTATTCTTTCACCTGCAAAGTTAAATTATAATTAGAATATATCGCTACTAATATTATTATTTATACTTTAATTATTCTCGGTATATTAAAATAATTGGACCATAATTGGATCTAATTTAGTTTCTTCTTTAACAATTCTATTTGTAACGATTGATATTTCATAAATTTTATTTTTTCTTAGATACTTTCAAAGAGAGAGAGAGAGAGAGAACAAGGAGAAAATTTACTTATTTCTTTTTTTAATAGAATAAAACTCACTCTATTTTGCTATATGATTATATTAATATCACTATTATTAATTTCACAATTATTATTTCTTAAGAGATTACTTCCATTTGTAAATATATTTCACATTTTTTATTTTATCTTAATTAAAAAATACTGAAACGACTTTTGTCTTATATTAAATCTGACTTATCCCACAGATTTGCGAATTTACCGCATGAGATCGACATGCGCGACTATTGCCGTGATGGCAAAGAAGAAATCGAGATGCAAAGTCTGGAGAGCTGTCCACACATCGTCGGCAATCCGTTAAACTCGATGCCGTATCATCCTTACGCCACAGTGACAAGCTTGTCCAGCTTGCAAAGTTACCCTCGGCGGAACGTCTCGCGCAATCCGTCCATTATCAGCAATCCCTTGGACAACTACTATGTGGACAACGAGCTGGGTGTTTATCGACTCAGCCGGGAGATGATACCGCGAGTGTCGAGCAATGCAAATCTTGAATCTTTCCATACATCTCACGATGAGATGTCATTCCGCGTTCCTGTTGACGAGAACGAAAATCTGCGACACACTAGTCGAAATAACGAGAGGCGACAACCAACCGTAGAGCACCAAGCCGTCAGGAACGCCGGCAACGAAGTAATGAACACAAGAAATCGCGCTCGGAGCATCTCCAGACTGAGTCAGGACAGCCGCAGGAGTTCGTTAAACCGCGAAATGGATCAACATCAGACCGCCGCCGCTTTCGTCAGGTTACCCGATCCCGAGGATGTTGAGGCTTCGCGAGACAGACGCGTTGACGAGGACCAACGACCACGATTGTATCGTGAGGATCAAAACGCTAGAAATCCGCGCTTGGATCACGTTCAGGTCCAAGATGAAGTGAACCGCAACGTCGTCGACGGTGATCCTAGGTATTTCGCTAGAAACAGACGACTGGAGAATGAGGACAGGAATCAAGGTGAGGTCGAGGGAGCTCAGTATCTTGACGAGGAAGCTGGTAATTTCGGTGCGCTCGCTGATATCCGCGAGAGTAGAGTGTAATATGGACTTAAGATTGACGCAATATTTCATTGCTTAGTAAGAAGGGCTCAGGATGAATTTTGTCGAATCTGAAGGCACACAGAACTTTTTCTAATTCTCACGAGTAATATTCAAATCGAACACAAAGAGAATCTGCCAAAATCATTTTCATTTTCTTCATTAAATATTTCTGAAAGAAAAAGTATTATAATATCCTCATTTGTGTGAGAAATGGTGAGATTTTCTTTGTGTCTTATAAGAAGAGCCCTTTATATTAATACATTATACATGTCTCGCACGACACATAAGACTTGCACGAAAGTCAGATGACAAGCGGAAATTGTCTTGCGACAAATTTCCACGAGAAATTGTTAATTCCAAACAGTTTAGGAGCAAACTGAAATTCCAGGTTAACAATTAGAGGCGAAGTCGAACTAAATATCGTACTATACAAAAGGCATTACGACGATATTTTTAACTGTATATGTGACAATATAATAATTGTACGCGCGTGACAACTTAGTAAGTCTTCACACACGATACATACACACATAGTATATTTCTGACAAACAATCATCCCCTTATGAAACAACGATTTTTTTTACAGGACCTTGAAAGAAAATTTTACGTATGGCGATCAAAGAATGAGTCAAAGAAAACTCGATGGAAAAATACCGAAAATAGTTGTTATTCCTTTAAAAATCAATATAGATTGAGAAAACATTGACGAATATCATATGATAAATTGTTACATGAAGGAAGAATAATCCTGCGCGAATATCGGTTACTTTCCCGATAATAGAACGTCGACGCAATCTAAAGATGCTTTTGTATGCGAAAAGTTGCGTTTAAACCTAGAAGCACAGCGAAGTTAGTTAAGTCCGTCCAGGCTTTAACGAGTGCACTTAAGTTTCACGAGCATTGATTTAAAAACACATGTCTCGAACAGTGATTTAATCCTGATTCATAACTCCTTTCTCTTTAATATTTTATACATAAGTTAAGTACAGACTTGTCAACTGATATTATGTTTGCTCTTACTATTATTTATAGAAAGCACCATTCTCACGATTTGAATAAGTGGTATTATCCACTGCGAATGCATCAAACGATTTTAGTATTCGCTAAAAGTGACACGAAGTTGGAAATGACGTAAAATTATGTTTAAGGAAAAAGAAATTGATTAGATTTTGTGTAAAATGTTAAGAGAAAAAGTTAAATATATATAGAACGAGTGTGAAAGAAAAGGTATCACATGTTAAGAAATTGTTTCAGGAAGCAAGTGTGATGTGTGTTAAAGCTGGATAATCAGATACAGCGAAGTATCAAAACGTTAAATCGAATCACGTATATATACCAAACAACAGAACGAAATAACAGTTGGCTTTAGATATACTTCTTGTATACACATTATAAGTGTAAGATAATTATAAAGAGAACTATAAGTTGTACACGTTATCACTGTTATCGTGTATCGTAAGGAGGAATTCATCAACGAAAGATTCCAAGAGAATAAAATTCTGCGTGAAGTATAATACTGTGTGCCTTCCTAGTTTTTAGATTACTAGATGGAAAAAAAATATAAACAACGGGATTTTTATTTTAAACACGGCTGATCATCTCGACCAAGCTTCTCTTTCCCTTATTTTAAATTATGATATACAAAACGATAAAGGAAAGAATTTGCTTTATGGACAATGATATAAATCTTTTATCCTATAAAAAAATATCCTCGAATGCGAACAATATCAATCAATCCTTTCTTAACTATTATATAGTAATATATATGTAGAGAGAGAGAGAGAGAGAGAGAGAGAGAGAGTTTAAACTGTACATATATTGTTATATCGTACTATAACAGATATTTACTCTTGACCATAAAAAGTGAAAGGTAAAGCCAGTTGTATTATATAAGTGCACAAATTAATAAATTGATAACTTGTAATTTTTAATTCACTATATTTACGAATTTATTTCAAAGAGATTATGAATATATAGAATCTATATTTACATCCTTATTTATGACTAACTAGGCAAATGTTTTGCTTAGATTCTGCAAAAAATGATTATAAAATGAAATATATTTGGTGTACACTTGAGGATGCGCTATCTTGTACTCTGAAAATGGCTTTGGTGAATGAAAGTGAAATTTTTGTATGTACAGTCAGGACACCATGTAATGGTTAGATTTGTTGGTAATTTTCATTTGAAAATGATTACCATTAAACATTTCCAGCTATTGGTAAGGAATTTACATAAGAAACATTTTGATTTTCATCAATCATCAGTATCAATTTCCTCAGGAGCTGAAGAAGTTTCCTCTTCTGTATTTTTCTTGTCCCAATCTTTTAACTTTGCTCCCATGACAAAATCATCTCTAAGAACACCCCATATTTTGTCGTCCTTGAACCAAAAATATATTGTTATTATTATGCACAATTGTATATTGTAATGTAAAAAAAATATGTATAATATCAATAAACTGGAATACACGTGGCCTTCATAAATGTATCACAAAATTTGTAATGTATACTTGATACTTAACATATTCTATAATACTCTGTTAAAAGAGACAATATCCCATGTATATTAATATATTAAATATTAATATCAATCTTTGTGATTAATACTATAGGCTATACTATATTTTACTTACTTTGTCTTTATTTCCTGTGGATTCAACTGCTTTCTCAGGTACAACAGTCTTATCAACCGATATGCTTTTAGCTTTACCCATCAAGATATCAAGGAAAGCATTTTTGTCAATGTTTTTCATTACTTGTTCTCGTTTTCTTTCCAATGGACCTGCTTCAGATAGTTTCTTGCTGATATCTGTTTGTTGCTGTTTTACTGCATTAAACAGTTGTACTACTCCTCTATAAAACATAATGAAAATCTACTTAGAAATTACAAAATAGAGAGTTTGCGATTATAAGATAATTTACCTTGTAGCAATCTTTTGCAACATTCGTTCACGTTCTCGGTGTGTAATGCATGGTTTTATCCTGATACCAAGACTTCTCTCCTTTTTGCTCAGCTTTGTCTGTGCAGAAAACTCTAGTTCATTACTTATTTTTTCCAAATCTGTCGTAATTTTGTTTTCAACATTATCAATTTCAAAGGAGATGTTTTCTTTCTTTTCATTTTTTTTCACATCACACAACTTCTTTGCCTTAGCTAATACAATTGTCTGTTTCCTTTTTGGCTTCTTTGTTTTCAGGATTTTTTGCATGACGTCCGCCCATCCTGTATTTCCTGCAGATTTCGTATCATCTTCTGATTCAATAGAAGATTCCGATTCAATAATTTTTATTTCAGCGTCTTGTCTCATCTTGCATCCAGATAAATGTAACCTGGTAATCACGTGTTAGCCACTGAAATATATACTAACTGGAATGCGCGCTGTCTCTTGAGACATGAAGGATGAGAGAGAGAGAGAGAGAGAGAGAGAGAGAGAGAGAGAGAAAGAGGTTCCTTGTTTCCTCTCTTATCTTTGTTTGGTTCATAGGATATTCAAGAGTAAGGAGAATATGATACAGTCCAAATTAAAAGTTAGAGCTAATACGAAAAGCAGTGACCACTGAATGGCAGTGACTTATGAACGAGCTTATGAACGAAAGTTTTAGGATATAAAAATATATATAGATATATTTTTTCTCATTTATTAGTGTTCACTTATCGACTTATTAAGAAAAACAAAGCAAAGATGGTTCCTAATTCGGAGATTCAGCTTATGTTTAGAAATCAGCCGACTTAGCTTTTGGTTCAGACTGTACTAGACTACAGCGCTGTTTGAGACCTACAAGCATGCTCTCTCTTATCCCGCAACACTCAAGAGGTAGTGCGCGTTCCAGGTAATATATATTTCAGTGTGTTTAGTGATGAGAATTGGAGAAACTAATAAAAAAGATAGTATTCTAAAACGCCAGCGGCATTTCTTTTCGTGCTAGATGGAAATACTCTGTTTTAATTGGTGCATTTCTGAATATGGATGGAAATGCACCAATCAAAATGTGCCGCTGGTTTTAGCTGCTGCAAACGCTTTAAGCGCTTAAAAAAGCCATGATTGGTCTATAATGCGCTTCAAAACATTCGTAGCGTCTAATGGATCGCGCCTTCAGTGAGCAGTGTAGTATTGGATGCACCTATTGGCTATGTTCAGCAAAAATAGCTGCTTTGCACTGTATAAAATTCGTGGATCTGATTGGTGTATGTTCCTAATCTTGGCTAAATCTAAGAGCAGATACCAATCAGATTCACGAATCAAGTTTCCCTTCAGATACACCGTAACCAATGAAATGATCTATCTGTTCATCATCTGAAGATAAACTTAAGAGACGGTCTTAAATATAAGATTCGACCATAAATATTGGCCTAGAACTTTTCTGAAAACATAAAATTGCAAAGTGGTATGTAGAATAGTTGGAAAGAAGTAAACAACATAGTTTATATACTAGCACTTAATAACGTAATAACAGATTTAATGTACTTTACATTACTATTAATATAGTTAAAAATAAAAAATGCAAAAATTTTTTTAAATCTCGTGTAGGCGTTTGACATCGCATCAAAAGTACGAGTCTATTGACGTTGGTCGCGTAATTGTGATGTTTATCAATGTATATGGAGCAAAATATGAAGGTTTAGAATTTGCCTCTTCATCTCTCATTATATAAGCTAAGTGCGTTTTGCACGCTTTCGTGTTGAAAACATCATTCTATTTTCCTTCGACATGTAATGAGTGACAAGGATAGAATGATGCTTTTAGCACGAAAGCGTATAAGACGAGCTATTTAAATGATTTATTGAAATCTTTTAGGTTATATCGCCGGTTTGTGTGCCTTTGTAGTCTTATCTCTCTAACAAATTAATAAAACTAATATTTTATTAATTAACGGTACGTCAATCTATACAGCACAAAATCTCCTGGAGACGTCCCACAGATGTCCTGAGGATATAGAACGTCCCCAGGATGTTCTCAGAACATACTCTGGACGTCTCCTGATTATTTGTGTTGTTAGGGAAACGTATCCCACACAGCAGGAATGTCCTGAATATATCACAAAAATATTCTAAAGATATCTCAATATATGTAGGATATCCCTATAATATATTCGGGACATTTCTGCTGTGGGATGTGCCTCTCTTATGAAGGTCTACTTGGAAACAATGTAATTGTAAATATGCAATATTTTACGATAATATTATACTAATGAAATTAATAATTACAATAATTCCTTCATTACTAATATATTAAATAATTCATTGTTAAATAATTAAAATTGGAATTGAACTTATAGTCAGAAAATGCATTGTATACGAATTGGATTTTGTCAAGGTTCATTGTCCTTGTAACAAAACATATTGCAATATCGATATTTAACACGCAGTAGATAGTCATCGTGCTGTTTCATCTGTTCACTCGTATTCCAAATGACTCATGCATCTCTGCGTGATGCATGTCGCACACAGCTGACGATGAATTTTTATTTTTAGCAGTAAAGAAGCGTTAATAAAGAATACTGTTCCTCCAACAGCAGCTTCGTGTTCGTGCAAAAGTGCAGACGCGATAATGATCACGTTGCATGCAGTTTCTACACTTTGCTTACGTAAAGCAATATAAGCAGGATACATCTAGAGCTTTACACTTCGGAGAAATAAAATATAAAAAGTTATTACGAAGGATCGCTTCGGAGAAATAAAATATAAGAGGTTATTACGAAGAAGGGACTACGAAGAATTTCTAGAGAAACTTATCGAATTTCTCTTTGAGAAACGTAATTAGAAATGTAAAAAGATAAGAAAAAATTTCCACCGGAAATTCCCATAACACAAATCTCTAAAAGATTTCTTAAAGAGTTCCAAAAGAATTCCCAAGTCTTTCAGAACACTTTTGGAATTCTTTAAGTCTTTTAGAGATTTATACTATTTGGATTCGTCATGTTCTTTCAGATTAATTTTATCAATTGTAGAAAAAACACTAGTAGATCTTATTCTTCGAGATACAGATTCGTTATGAAGGTCGAAATAGCGCAAATGTCTAAAATACAGATCGCAGAGATATCCTAAAAACGTCTAAAACACGTAAGACATCTTTTAAACGCCTTGAAAATGTTGTTTAAACATTTATGCTGTATGAAAGACATATAAATATATCAGAGTCTTTACCTAAAAGATACATTTTCATCGGAGAAAAAAGAAGGGAAAAATTCAAGTCAAAGGCGGATGTATTAAACGCGGCTTCAGCATGTGCGCTGTTGTACAGTATCGTGTGAGATTGTTAATTGTTTGATCGCGCTGAGTTAGTTGTAATTGGATAAACGCGCATTGCCGTTCATCTTGCGCATAACACGCAATTTGTGATTAGCATTCGCGATTCAAAGCGATCGTCTTGGTTCACCGCATATAGTAACTATATACCCAGCGGGAAATGATTCATCGATCGATGTCGAAACGATGTCGAATCGACATCGAAATCGTGAAACCGACGTCAATTCGACATCGTTTCGACATCAATCGACAAATTATTTTTGGTTGGGTATAGACGAAAGAAGACGAAACACAGAATGAACGGCAATTTCATCGCGACGAAAAATATAACGCACTTTTAGCGCGCCTGTACGAGAGAATGCTCGTATTTTTATTCGAACAAATGCGCTGTCAACTTCAAGTGTTATCTACCTATATAGCACAAATCTCTAAAAAACTTCTTAAAGAATTCTAAAAGTATTCTGGAGGACTTGGGAACTCTTTTGAAACTCTTTAAGAAGTCTTTTAGAGATTTGTGCTATATAGATAAGTGTGTGTGTGTGTGTGTGTGTGTGTGTGTGTGTGTGTGTGTGTGTTCAGTATCTAATTCATAAATCTTTATTTACTATTACAACTGTCATGCATGCTTTATTTCTTTGCACGTCTCAGCAATTTCTCTCTTGCTTTCGCTCTTTTGCGGAAAATCTGTAATGTATACGTCTGTCTCATAATGTCCGTATCGTATCCGTAACGTCAGTAAAATCTTGGTTCTGCTTTACTTGATCGATCCGATTGCAATCTTCAAACGTATAGTCTGATACAGGCATTACATCCAAGTAGAACAACGTTATCTTAAAGTATTCCATTTTACTATATAAAATTAAGTCAGGGTAACTTTATTTTCGGTACAAAAATTAAGTTTCCTGTTTACTAAAAAGATTATCTAATGTCCGCCCAAAAGATAACTTTTAATGTCCAAAAAAATATCATTTAGATATAAAAGTATCAAGTTGATACATGGATACAAATTAAATATATACCAAATGATAACTATAAAATGCATAAATGAACTAGCTATTAAGCAAATGTAAATTGTTATTTAATTGATGTCACATTAAAGGAAACGAATTATTGACATTGACTTGTTATCTTAGATACATTCTAAAAGTTAACTTCAAAAACGTTAACCAATAGATAACCTGTTCTACTTGAGTAGGTGCAGGAAGTGTAACAGAGTAACTAGAAGGGACAGAGGGACGAGAGATCGGTCGACGGCGCGTCAATTGCGGCGACATTCAGTTGATCGAGAGTAGTCGAGAGAGAAGGAGTGTGACGTCGCGCCTTCCGTAAAATGGCAGCACAAAATCAACGTACGGCGGGCTTTCTCACGCTCATCTATCTGAGTTGTTTGTTGTTGGCGCGGGTGCAGTCAAACCCCGTCAATATCCCGGTGAACCAAGTGCCGTTGACACTGTGGGACAAGGCGTGGAGAGCTCTGAACGAGCATTCGCCGACGCATCACCTGTACGCGCAAGGCAACCTGATAAATGCGCAAGAATTGGTGAGTTATGTCGCAGGATTGCGAAATTTTTATGGTAATTACGATATATCATGTTGGGCGCGCGTCGAATCTCAATGTTACCGTTCTTTTCATCGCGTCTTTTCTTTGTCTTTTCTTTTCGTCTTGATAGCTCATATGCGTGATAATCTGTCTTTGTTTGACAACTGATCTCTTTGTCAACAGCGAGGAGTGATTTTATTTGTTTTCAGATGTAATGGATAACAAGTGCATCGTACCGTACATCGAAGGTGAATAATAGATTATTCGCCAGTTTGCGTTGTTTTATTATTACTGTTTTTTTCCCGAGCGATACGTTAATAATACCGTTACGGGTAAAGATACGACTCGGATAAGATTTGGAGGATAAACGAATTATCCTTTGTCGTTTTACCAGCGTGAAAATTAAATTGTAAATACTATGTATATCTATATGTCGTACTCTTACATGAATCTTTTTTGCATGTTAGAAAAACAGTGTGTAATGATTTGTCTGATATGACGAACTATATTATTAAAATATAAAGTTGTAAATTTTTTCCTTATAATAATAATCAGAAAATAGTTTATGGCATTACAGTTCCTGATAAAATTATGAGATAGAGATTACAAGTAGAAATAATATTAACAAGATTTAAAGGATCCTTTCTATTAGCAAACAGTGTGAAATCTTTAGTTAAGTTAATGTTAATATTAAGAGAAGATATTAGAAACTAAGGAAAATCATACATATATTATAATTGTTAAAATAACAAAAACTTGGTTTTATTTAAAATCAGTTATCTGAGTTAATGCAATTATAATAAATTATTATTATATTAGCTTAGGACTTGTAAAATTTTTCAATGCTCCAACAACAGAATAAGCAGTCGCAAATCTGTGATTTTATTCTCTTGAAAGTAATTAATGTGTAATTTTAACTCCCTGTGAAGAGTTGGATAAGATAGCATTTAATTTCACTTGTGCGACTGCTTGATACATCAACATGTACATAAATGTGTAATCCTCTATTGGCGTATATTCTATGTATATTCCTCTATCTACGTATTGACATACATACATGTATTTCTACATACTTATCCAAAGTGATGATAAACTGTGATAATAATGTTCTGGGTTATCAGGTCAAGTTGTACTAGTCAGTTAGAAAAATATGTGGAAAGTGTTATTGCGTAGTGACTTACTGTCTTTATAGAACATGTTATACTCTCTATTTCATATTACTATTCTAATATTTATTAGCTTTAATTAATTTTCATATCATTATTATCACAGGTAGAGCCGCCTTACAAGATATACAAGTTCACATATAACCTGAGCCCAATATGTGGAGCTGAATCTCCGGTCCCAGGGAGTCCCTGTCCTAAGGAAGCCTGCACTATCGACCTGAAGCAAGATGAGGACGGCGAGATAGAGACGCTGAATGACTCCATTCAGTGCATGTACTTCTATCCTGCCGATGCGCAGAATGAGGTGTCGCAGGAACAGCAGGGCGATCAAGGCACAAGCTACCAGGAACAGGAAGACTCACAGGTCACAGAGAGCTTGGCCGAACAGATAAACAGCAATCGAAGCGTCGAGCTACGCCACGAAGTTCAGGAAACCGGTGACGAGAATGTCAAGCCGTTCATCGCTATGCGCGCCTCCAGCACCGGGTATTGCCCGGGTTGCCCGTATGAGTTGAATCCGCAGCTGATGGGTCTCCTGCCGTTCTCGAAGCAAGCACTGAAATCGATGGACGAGCAGTCCACAGGCGATTACAAACACAAGTTGATCAAGATTGTGAAAGTCATCCGCTCGATACCAGTCTGGTCCAATGTGATACAGTATCAACTGTTGCTGCTAATCGGCGAGTCCGAATGTCTGAAGAATTCCTTGGAGCAGGATGAATGTCCGTTACAGACGGACGTACCGGCGAGACTGTGCCTGGTCACGTTCGAGCAACAACCATGGCAACAGACAGGCCTGAAGATCACCAGGAACAATTGCACGAACTACGAGAACGTGTCCAGCCCCAATAGTCCGTCTCAGCAGCCAGTTTTAGAGAGTCTGTCGCAAGTGACGGTCAAGTACGACGAAGGACAACCGTCGAAAGATGCCTACGAAGGCCTGAAAGATATGCTGGACAATTATACCCACGCGCCGACTCCGTCGGAAACAAGCTCGGAGCCCAAGGAAACTGCGGTGACGGAGCCAACGGTGATGAAGATCTTATTGAACCGCAGTCAAGACGACGAGAAGAGCGAAGGCTTCACCGACAAGATAAAGGAATACAACGAATTCTTGGAGGATTTCGATATACCCGTAAAGATGGAACATGTGACCCCTGATACGCGTGAACCGGTGAAGGAAGAAGAGTTCAAACAAAAGAAGTTATCGGCGGAGGACTTCATTGTCGAGAAGGTAACTGACCGAAACATTATTAGCAGACAAAAACGATCTTCTACGATTCGATTAGTTGGCGCGCCGTCACCAAAGCCCATCAGTGATCCTCAGATCCAACTTTACGCCCAAAAAGCGTTACACAAAGTTTCGCAGGAGGAGTCGAACAACCCGAATGAGCCGATTATAGTGGAGATCATAGAAGCAAGCGTACAGGTAGTCGCCGGTTCACTTTACAAAATCAAGGTCAAGATGGGCACTAGCAACTGTCCTAAGGGCACTAAAGACAACTGCCAGTTGCAAGCTGGAAGCGAAGTGAAGGACTGCTTGATATCGGTTTTCTCGCAACCGTGGATCGACCATGGCGAACCAACGATAACGGTACAGTGTCCCCCGCCGAACGAGAATCACAGGAGAAAGCGATCGCTGCGCGGCGCCAATTATAACGAAAAGATGCTGCATATTGCGGAGGATATGAGGAGTGAGTGGTTATTCGAGAACTTTATAACCACGTACAATCGGACGTACGCCACGACGGAAGAGAAGAACCTACGGCTCACCATATTCCGCGAGAACCTCGGTATCATACGTCTACTACGGAGGAACGAACAAGGTACCGGGCAATACGGCATCAACCAGTTCGCTGACGTGTCGACCGAGGAGTTCCGCGCGCTTTATCTCGGCCTACGACCCGACCTGCGTACGGAGAACAACATTCCTCTCAAGCAAGCTGAGATCCCAGACGTGAAGCTGCCACCTTCCTTTGATTGGCGACAAAAAGGTGTCGTTACGCCAGTAAAGAATCAGGGTATGTGCGGCTCGTGCTGGGCTTTCTCGGTGACTGGCAACGTCGAGGGACAGTATGCCATCAAGCACGGCAATCTGTTGTCGTTATCAGAACAAGAGCTGGTAGATTGCGACGACCTGGACGAGGGTTGCAACGGGGGTTTACCGGATAACGCTTATAGAGCGATCGAGAAGCTAGGTGGCTTGGAGTTGGAATCGGATTATCCGTACGACGGGGAGGACGAAAAGTGCCATTTTAAGAAGAACATGGCCAAGGTGCAGTTGAGCTCTGCAGTGAATATTACTTCGAACGAGGTGCAAATGGCGCAGTGGTTGGTTACGAATGGCCCGATATCCATTGGGATCAATGCTAATGCCATGCAGTTCTATATTGGCGGGGTGTCGCATCCCTTCAAGTTCCTCTGCAATCCCAAGAATCTGGACCACGGCGTGCTGATCGTCGGATATGGCACGAGCAGTGAGTATCGGCACATTGTCATTCAAGAATAGACGTTTAAACCATTTCTTAATCATATATCCGAGTAATAATATATTACTATTTGAGTAATTAGAATACTTTTTCAGTGTTGGATACTTTATTTTCGATGAGACTTTCTCTGAGGAAACGCTGATGAAACGTTCTCTTTTCAGGCTATCCGCTTTTCCACAAGAAGCTACCGTATTGGATCATCAAGAACAGCTGGGGAGATCGATGGGGCGAGCAAGGATACTACAGAGTTTACCGCGGAGACGGCACTTGTGGACTCAATATGATGGCCTCGAGCGCCGTGGTTGTTTAATGCAGAGATTAACTACATAAATAAGTTTTACATGACAATTAACTTATATATTATATATCTAAACAATGTTATACATATATAGAAAGATTTTCTACTAACTTAATATCGGCTGCGGAACGATTTGTTTGCGAGTCTGCCATGTGTTTGACAGATACGGCTGTGCCGCGTTTCATTCCTGTTGTCGACAGGTGTCGACATTACACATCTATTGATCGGTAAAAAAACACGTAGCGTTCAACTTAGCAAATGTTGGTAAGCGTACGGATCGTCTGTAGCTAGTTGTGTACGTTGCGTAAATTCAGTTTATTAAATCTAATTTTTTGCGTATATTTACATTGAGTTAAGAGAGAAATGATGATGATCGTTTACGACAATCCTATTTGCTTGTGACTCGCTCGAAAAGAGATTCAAAGTATGTTTTTGCAAATGTTTATAAAACAAAAATATAAATATATATATATATATATGTTATACATAATGTTGGAGCTAGAGCTACGAAAGATGTTGAGTGTTGTATAATTCCGCGGAGTAAATTTTAATCACGCATAAAAAGCAAAACTTCCGCGACGTTTGTGTATTTTTTTAAAGTTAAGTTTTTTATAAACTAACTGGTTTTTACATTAAATATCTTAATAAACTTCAACTCTGCATAGTGCTAAAGCATAGAATTTTATATGTGGCTTGTAAACTCTCAAACCAAAGTGCAAGAACACGCGGAAACAAGTAGTTGTCCGAACTTTATCAAACGTAATATAAAAAGATAACTATACGAAATCATGTCAATTTAACAGTAAACATATTTGAAATTTAGATGGCCTCATTAAACTCTTTCAGTAATGTGCGAGAGAAACAGATATTCAATAGACGAACATACAAATTTCCGTCTAGTTATCTAGTTTATATCGAGTAAAATCTTTACTAAATAGGAACAAATTAAGTTTAGTAAAATTGTACAATTTTACGACATTTACAATATTGTAAATAGCCATACATGTACGCATGACAGATACACATCGTAAATTAAGTCAGAGTACATCTGGATAACTGCGAAATTACATCTTCGTGTATAATGAAGAAGCATTTATTTCTGAAAATCATCAAAAAACACTGCAATTTATCCTAGACGTCAAAGTAACAAATCTGTCTTTCATTCTGATGTTCTGACTCTACTACTAATCTAAGGTTGTCTTACGAGAATTTATCGATAAATTTGAAGGCATAAAAAAAATTCGAAATCTTTTAAATACTGCCAGATATAAGAACTTTAGTTAAACTGAACATTACTTAGAAGTAATTAGTCATTACATTATCTAGATGTATACGCACGTCCATGAATTAGATATAACACACCAGGGTTAAATATAACATATAGCTAATATGTTAAATTTATATAATATATAGCTGAAACGCGTGAAATTGATCAAAATGCACTTGTCGCAATTAGATTCACGTTTATTTTCTGGAAACGCAGCCATCGCAAGATATAATCATTTTACTCTTCGAAGGATCACAAATTTTAAGTAATAAAATTAACAGACATGTTTTTCATTGATTAACGAAGAATATATCCTGATATGCATTGTTTACTCGGAACTATTTATGATAAAGGTAATTAGTAGCTTCGCGCGCAAAAGAAAAGAAAGAAATTTAAAGAAGAAAAGTAGAATGATGACAATTTCTTCACAGAGGTTAAGTAACAATGTTGACAGCAGTTTGTACAATTTTGAAAGTGCCCTATATAGTATTTGTAATGCGCTTGCAACACGCGCGATACGATACATCGTAAGTTACAGCAAGTTCTTGAATTGTGTGTATATTATGCAACAGTTATTACGGAATCTATAATTTATTATAATGGTCGTGAGGATATAGAGATAGGATTAAGTACAATACGTATATTCACGAATATCGCTCAATTTTTAACAGCTAGTATATCATTTCACTAAAATTACTATTATTTTCAAAAATCGTGAATTTTTTCGTATATATATTTTTTTATTATATCTATAAAAGAATTTTTTGCGATCAAACACTAAGTGAAATAATTGCAAAATGTAATTAGTATTTTACTTCAAAAGAAAGGACATACTAGTATTAATACACAAACTAGCAGAAAATAGTTTCAACAAAATTGTTTTTCTAAAATACATAACAATGTCATCAAAAACGAAAAGATATATTTAAAATTAGTTTTAAGGCTATTCAAGGTTTAGAATTAATAGGCCTTAAGCTTTAAATAGGCTTAAGACTATTTATTGTGCCAGGACTGTGCTCTTCTAAAATGTACTTAACCCCACTCTTAATTGTAGAAGTGATGTGTGACGAATTCACAGTCACATCCATCGTAACGTTTCGAAGTGAACACATATAGGATCCTAAAAAATCTCTGTATACCAGTAGCAGGATTCCACTCATTTTTATTTATTTTTATTTTTTCCATAAAGAATGGACACTTTTACTTGATGTAACATTGTCGATCCCAATCTCTCTTTGGTGTTACAAACAAATCGCTCTAACTTTTTTCTTTCGTTTACGGGAAAATTACTATCGCGAAGATGCAATCTTCAAGTTGACAATCTTGTTTAAAGGAAATATACAGTGATGTGCATGTAACGAACAAAATAAAGAGCAAGTTCTGCTAACGGTACACAGTTTGTTCGGTACACGCGGTTATATATTCATGCAGTACATCAGGGCCGCCATTCCGTACACGCTTACCAATAAACCGTCGATTCGGTGCATGTCGCGTATTACATAGATATGATCATATCATAAAATTGTAAAGTGATATAATTATATCATAGCTGAGCAATAATTTATCGAACCGACACTGTCAGCGAGTACGGAACACAGCCTTAGATATCGACACAGAAAGGGACCGTCGTCAACGGTCGACACACATAAGCTCTCAATGTCAGGATATCGAGGTGTCATTCGAATACTTAAACTTATTAACTCCTCCATCCGATGACATCGAAATCGGCAGAATAAAACGCTAGAGAATGTACAATGGACAAAAATTAACATGTGTAGTCGATCTTGGGGAACGATTGTGTAATCGTTCAGTAATAATTGTAAGATCCCCACTGATTGTAAGGTCCGTAAGCTTGCGGTCCACCTTGGCCGTACTGCCAATTTTGGTAGTTAGCATAATTAGGATCTGACGGCGGAGGATATTGCTGGTAACCTTGCTGATAGCCACCCTGACCGCCATACTGACCGCCCTGAAACTGCTGCTGCGATTGGTAAGGTCCGCTGGGGCTGCTGCTATACTGGTACGAAGACTGTGATCCCACGGACGGCGGAGGTGGCACGTTTGACTGGTCGGTCTTCACTTTCTTCGGAGGCGAGGAATCACTGCAATATACGGATAATGTTGATTTCATCATATTTTTCTCTTAACGAAAATAATTTAAACATTTTTAAGTTTTGCAAATATCAATAACACGTTCGAATCTAATGATACAACTACGTTAACTTTAAACAAATTATAGAAATTACTCGTATAATTATTCGTATTTTTTCTTCTCATTATTCTGCAACCACTTACGTTTTGTTATCATCACCCTTTGCCTTCTTCCGCTCCTTTGCTTGCTTAATACATTTCTGGAACTGTTCGTGAGCTTTCAGCACTTGCCGAATGTCTGGGCTAAAGTCCTCTAGGAACTCAACCTTGCGTTGCGCAAATAACACTCTCTGTTCGAGGTCCGCATGTTCCCTCTCTATGAACATGTCCATGTAGCCTACTATTTCTTGGGTGTCGACTGGCGTCCGCTGCATACCTAAATCTATCAATTGCAGATATAATCTGGGATTGTCTTTATCTTTGTCTGTAGCCTGCAAGAAAACCGCGAGATATGTATAAATTTTATCAAGAATTTAATTCATCATAATAAATTCAATACGAATTTATCGAGACGCATCAAGAGAATTGTCTAATTTTATACATACCTTCATCAACACCTTAATCGCCTTGTCAACATCATTCTTGACTTTACAGAGGAAACGTGCATATTTTACAGCAATATTGTTAGCAATAGTCCTATTTTTGCTATTGCTAATATAATTTTCGTACAGTATACAAGCTTTATCTAAATCGTTGCGACGACGTTCCAAGTTTATTCGTCGGTATGCCACTTGCAGCATATTTGGCAACACACTGTCAATATTCTCTAATATGGCGGCGGCCTTCTCAAAGTTATCCTGACCTTCCTCAAAGATAGCCCACTGCAGGTGCAAGTTTGGTTTTTTCGGGTGGTGCACCATACAGGCTCTTGAGTACACGTCTCGGATTTTTTCTGTATTATCTCCCTTCAACGACTCCAGGTAACGCACAAACTACAAACGCAAGGTAAAAGTTTTATATTTCGTTTACACAGTTATAGGTATATTAAGTATTAGAAAGTTAATAGATGTACTTCGGTGGTTTTACTTACTCGCATCCAAAATTCGTCGTAAAGCGCGCAAGCTATGAGACATCTCTCGAACAAGATGATAATACGATTTTGATCCTTCTGCTCGATCTCGAAATCAAGGTATTCCTTCCAATTCTTCAATTGACACCGCTCCAGTGGTTTCACATGGAAGTATGGCCTCTTTATCTGTCAATCGTAAACGATGCGATTACTATTACGTCCAGGTAATTTCTCCAATTAATTCGGATTTCATATGCATCATAGTATACGCATTAATAAATTCATCAACTTGAAATCCTTTAATTTGGAATATAATTTTTTTTTACTTACAACGTAAAATATGTAAAACATTGACTTCTGTATACTACAACGAATCCAGATTTACCGCGCTAATACGTAGTAGTTCTAGAGCATGGGCTCGAAATGAGTTTTATTCGTTTATAGCAGTGAAACGCTTTTTTAAGGCTGTGAAATTAAGAAGTCTCATAATTTTGCTAAGTCAGCATTCATAATAATGTTCATCAAATGATCACATACTCCCTCCTCGTACGACCATCGCGCGGCCACCGCGTTGACGTTCGCTTTGTGCATTTTGCGTCTGCTGCTGATGATCTTCTCCCTAATAGCACGCGTCTCCTCATCGGTCGGCGGTACTTCATGGGGCGGCGGTTCCTCACCAGGCGGGGCATCATCGGAAGCAGACGTTGCAGTGGTGTCGTCCGACTTGAGAAGGGCTTTTACCTCGGCGCGTAACGCGAGGAAATCGTCCACGCTCAAGATACGATTTGGCAAGTTATTATCGACAAAAGTCTGGAAGTTGTCGAAGTGGGAAGTGTAGGCGAGCGTAGGCGTCGAGAGCAAGCGATCGTACAATGCCGTCACTCTGCTGAAGCGCTTCGCCTCCTGTTCCCATTTTATGTAGCTCTCCCAGAGACGATCTGACCTGTTTTTTTTTTTTATATTTGGTTGTTGTATTATTCGTAGTTATCTTCAATAGTTTGTTATCAGAGCAAATTCACATGTTTCATTACCGCGATGTTACATATTCACAGATAAAAAAGAACCACATTTTTTGAATTACTACTGTTACTGCCAATTAAACGCGTTAAAAGTTATCTACTTTTGGTACAATTATACAAGAAACATCAATCAAAGAAAAGTTTTCTATAATATATACGACTATGAATCTAACGCAAACATCATTAGAGTTGTTACCTGAACTCAAGCCCACAAGCTTGTATAGCTCTCTCGTACTGCTCCCGGAGCTTCTCCTCGTCCTTTTCATAGACGGTTTTACAGTGGTTGATGTAATGGAGCCACAGATCGACGCTTAGCGAAATAGCTTTCAGACCTTGATCGAACACCTGCGGTAATGATCAGTAGATGGTTTTTAGAGCAGCTTACAACTGGTTGGGATGGCGGCGGGTAGATCTTATACCTATTTTTGCTTTTAGCTTTCGTTAAGCATTACGGTTTTGTCTTTTTCTTTTTTTTTTTAGCAACGTATACTCACATATCGTACGCGTACTGTAAATAAAGAGATTTAATTAACACAGAGATTGCAGAGCATTGTGAATTCACCTTAAAGTCAGGGAGTGTTCCAATCTGGGCGCCCCTGTGTCTTCCACCACTCTCTTGCTCCCTCTCTGGCACGTGCACGTCCTAAGTCTTTGTCTCTGACTTTGACTTAGCACCCATCCCGACATATCTTACTTACATAAAGTAAGAGTAGCGCATATATCTTATGCTTAAGTTTTACAATACTTTCTGTAGTAAGCTATGTGTACAAATGCTTACAGTAAAATATAACACACAGTTTTCGTTTCCTCCAGTTTGTTTTTTGTATCGCGTTAAGAGGCGCTTCGCACAAATCGGAAACGACTAGCAATTTCGCTAGGCTAACGTATCGTAGTACGGTACTTGATATGATATACGGTATTTGATAAAAAGTACGTAATATAGCGTAATATTTTTTGTATAGGTATCGCAGAAATATTAAATAAGTAGCTATTTGGTAAACGGAGAGAGTCGTATAGGTGCCGCAAGACGTGCTAGGCTGTTGGAAGGGAAAACCATATTTATGTGCGTGCACACTGCCCACGCGTCTTCCTAACTCGAACTATTTTCATTAGAGATTGCGTTAATTAAATGATATTATAATGAGAGATAGCCTAATGAACATTAATATACGATCGGACTCACCGTTTGGACATTTTCGGGGTTCCCTTTCTTCTTCTCGTAATCGGCGAACTTTCTCCAGTAGCCGTAGCAATATGGATAACGCTCCAAGAATTTGGTGTAAGCTTCGCGTGCGGCTTCTGCGTCGTTCTGTAAAAACGCAATCGATCGTTAGTTCTAGAAATTTTCGATTCTTCCCAATTTGAATTAGGTCATTCGAGTGAGATAAAGAAACATTTTAGAGAGTGAGTCGTATCTGAAGACGTAATATAAAAATATTCTTATACTTACTTCTTGATCAACGTACTGTAAGAGATACGTCCAACCCGTAAAGTCGGACGGATCTTCATTAACGGCCTTCCAATATTTTTCTAGTTCGGGCAAGGTTTTCTTTTTGGGTGATGCTGGTTTGGTCTCTTGCTTCTCCGCTGCATCTGGTTCGGTGGACAACGCAGCTTTCTTGGCGGGTGTCTCATCATTGTTTTCGGACGTCGGAGAGCTAGGATCGTATTCCCCTTCGGCGTTTAACTTGCGTTTGTCTGCAAGCATAAAAAACATGTAGCGTAACTAAAAGTTTGAGATTGCGAAAATCCACCGAGATGTTGTTGAAAGTATACTCACTACCGCTCTCCGATTTAGTCTTCTTATCTGGCGTTTTGCTCATCGATTTCGTTACACCTTTCCGCTTCTTTTCGCTCTCCAGTGGTAACTCATCTTCGGACACGGATTCAGTTTCACCCAAATCCGCTGGAGCAGCGGCCGGCAACTCCTCATCAGACACTGCCTCAGTTTCGGGTTCCTGCACATTCAAAGTCATATTTATTCCATGTTATTGATCTAAATCAGTTCTCAATTTTACAAAATCTTTAATTAGTTTATTGAAAATCTAGCAAACCCAAGTAAAACGCCAAGTCTCACCTTAGCGGCTTCATTCGGCAACTCATCCTCCGACACAGCCTCCGTATCTGGTTCGATTTTCTTCACGTCTTCCTCGGTCGCAGATTCCATCTCGTTCTCGTTCGCAGATTCCACCTCGTTCTCGTTCGTCTCGGTTATCTCTATACGAGGCACAGAATCACCGCTCTGTGATACTTCTATATCAGTTTCTACCTTGCCTATCACTGTATCCATGACTACCGACATTCCTTGTTGTGAATTGTCAATTTCCATGACTTCAATTCCGGTTGCGGCGTGCGCGGGAATACTTTCTGTTTCAACTTCTTCTGATTCTAATATCTCATATGTCATTGTAGTGCCGTCTTCATTAATCACTTCTTGAAATTTAATAAGCTCACGTTGCTGATTAGAATCATCATTGCTAATATCTTGCTCTTCTACCTCAATCGGACTATGCTCGACTAGCGTTTCCACTTTATCCATACTACTTTTTTTCACTATCATACCTTCTGATCTGATATTGGAATGTTCCTACAACATATCAAGAGTTTTTACTTAAATAGTAATACAAATTTGTCTTATGAAACAAAAGCTTAATATATCATATATCAAAGATTAATATATCAAATTATTTGACATATGTGAACTTAGTAGTTGAATCACTTACCATTTCTTCTACATTTTGCTCGATCTCTTCACTTTGACCAATATTTAACTCATGTATATTAGTGTTTTCAGAATCTTCCAGCTCCAAGCGTAACACAGGAGTGTCTTCTTCATCATGATGCTCATTAATATCTGTTAACCGTTGAACTCCGTTCTCAGCCATATTTTCCACTATGCTACTTTCTAATATAGATGTTTCTTCCTGCAATCACAATCAGCCACTTGAAAATAATATTCTTTTGCATCCTCTGCATATAATAATATAGAACATCAGTAAAATTAAGTATCACTAAAATTCTTATTTTATAAAATAGCAAAATTTAATAGTTATAGTTCAATAAATCATGAGTATATTATATAATCTCTATTGAACCATGAAAATATAATTTATTCTAGCTTACATAATAGTTCTATTGTTCAGTACTGGTAGAAATAATAGTCTCCACATTTTATTCACAATACATATAAACATTGAATTTATTTAAACTAATTCTAATCATTGAGTATCTCTTGTTTCAAGTCCTGGATCTAACTATTCGGAAAGAAAACACAAACAAAACTCCTAAACCGATAATCCACTCTTATCCTCCAGATTACGCTGGCACAGCAACGAAGGAGAATCAAATTAAACGACAATATAGATGCCGGTATAAGCACTTTCTATGGTCTCGACACGTACCTCAGTCTCCTCGATCTCGGGGACGTTCTTCGGGGAACGCGGGGCCCTGGCGAGGAGTTTCTTCACGGGCGAGGAGTTTCTTCCTTTTTTGGCCACCACGGTTGTTTTACGTGTTCGACCCGATCTGGTGCGCCTCACTACAAAGGGAAAACCGATAAAATATTTATGTCGTTATACACAAGACGCCATTTCGCTCAAATGGCGACTTCAAGAGGCTGGGCGCTCATGCCGGTCGCGCGTCACTCTTCTTCATGTGCGAAACGATTCAAAAACGGCGACGCGCGACCGAACGATCGATCAGCGTAATTTGATTATTATCTCCACGTTCTTACCCGGTTCGGCCAACGCGATATCGGCCTCGTCTCCACTCGCAGAGGACATGTCTCTCGTTTGCTGATATTTCTTGTTACAATCACTGGAATGTAAAGCAATGTAAAGCGCAGAAATGAAACAGCAAATGGCGACGGTAACAGTACTGCTAACTTTCTAGACGTAAAAATCTCGCCTACATTTACCAACCTTTAGGGCTATCGCACACAAATTGACATAACTGCATATGCATAGCATAAGACCGTATGTACCAATGAGCATTGAGTATTAAGTCGCCATATTGGTGTTCGATGCTTAATATTCGATGCTCATTGGTCCATACGATCTTATGCTATGCATATGCAGTTATGTCAATTGTGTGCGATAGTCCTTAGCCGTCTTTTAGTGAGAAATACTGTGACTGCGTTCCAAAATTCACTGCCTGAAATTCTATACGTAACATATAGTCTATTCTTTTTAGTTTCACTGCTGAATTAGTGCAATTAGTTAGAGTGAGACAAATATATTTTCTTTCACTCTAACTTATTGCACTAGCTCAGCAGTCAACTAATAGCGTTTTTCATTGGCAGAATTGGTGCGCATTGAGTGCGCATTAAGACTTGTTCACAGTATGTTATTATATTGAAAGATTGTCTTAAATAAATTCTCAAATATTTTTAACCAGTAATATAATATGTATATAACATCCGTACGAATCATTTTATTACCTAAAATATTTTTAAATATGTATTAAGACACGATCTTAAATATGAAAATATATTGTAAACAAGCCTTAGTGCGCACTCAGTGCGCACCAGTTCTGCCAATGAAAAACGCTATAAGGTCCAGTTCCACAACCTCTAGTTAACTAACCGGTTATTCCATTGGACTTGACTAGAGAACCTCTAGGTGTACGTTCAGATTCTTCATCCGGGTGTACTCTATTACTAGAAACACTATAGTATATGTTACATATACTATAGCACTTCTAGTAATAGAATATACCCGGGTGTGGAATTTGAACGTAGCCTAGTATAGAGAATCGCCAACTTGGTCACGTGACCAGTTGATAGGGGCTGCGTTCCGAAATGCACTGCCAGTACTGAAAATCTGTAGTTCATGTAACGTATATTATAGAATTTCAGTACTGGCAGTGAATTTCGGAACGTAGCCAGGCTGGCATAAATATATACGGATTTAGACATTGCGACGCCAATGCAGACAAATGCTTTTATATATATATGGTTTTGCATCGGCGTCGCAATGTCCAAATCCGTACATGTTTATGCCAGCCAATCGCAGAATAGCTGAGTAGCTGGTCACATGACCAAGTTGGCGATTCTCTGTACTAGAGGTTCTCTAGACTTGACCAATCGCATTTAGTGTTAGTTAATCAGAGTTAAGAAGAGTTAATCAGAATTAACCAATCACTGTTGAGATATAACCTGTAGTTAAAGTTAAACGGAGGTTGTAGAACTGGGCCTAAAAAGAAGAGAGCAATAAACTATAAATTTTCAGTACTGGCAGTGCATTTTGGAATGCAACCTGTGTTACACAAAGCCATTTTATTGGCTACACATTAGTTAAGATACTTTTTGAGATAAAAGATAGCTAATAAAAAAGCTTTGCGTAACCAGAGAGAAGCATGAGGACGGCACCAGCCTGATTTGAGTGGGATCCGATTGACCACGGTACGATTGGACACAGATTGTAATGATTGGTTCGACCTGGTAATTCATTAGATAATTCTTTGCATCGGTTGGTTATGTCCAATCGTACCGTGGTCAATCGGGATGCTCCCGCTTGATTTCAAATGGCCAGAGCTATGCGGTGGTAACGATAAAATGCGCCTAATTCGTGCCCGATGTACTTAATAAAAATAAGTAAGGAGATAATTGAAATAATCAATAAAAACAGTGCCACTTCAGAAATTAATCAGAGATCAGTCGTTACAATTGATTGGCTATTATTAGTCATTTATTAGACTTATTCATCGGTATCTTAACAAATAATTTATTATACGCTTAATTTTTTATGTACATACACAAGTAAAATGCAGTATACAAAGATTTCACTTAATTGCATCAAGATTGATAATATTCGACCTCGTGAGGAGACGAGATAATTATAGCTTCAGTCTCTTGATATCTTCCGGTCTAAAATCTATTCTCAAGGAAGCGATACGTCGAACTTCCGACGGTGTTAGTCGCCATGCTATCGCGTCTGCGCCACAGTAGTCTGCGAGTTCCTCCACTTTCTCAATGCTCAGAATAGTAGCGATCTGCGTTAAACGTGCAAACTTATCCCTCACTGACCACGACGTAGCAGCGGCCAAATAGCTGGCTAACGATCTTATTTCCTTGTCCAATATCAGACCTCCTGCCTAAAATTGAAATTCACCTCATTGCAGATTTGCATCGTTGTATCGCAGGTGGACAAAGCTCAAATTTATTTTAAATATACGTACTCGATTAAAGGTCGACTTTAAAACCACTTTTTCCAAGCGAGCTGTAACTTCCGCAGTCAATAGGCCGATGAGCGCGTCATAATTGGAAGTAGTGAGGCTACCCTTGAATCCTTGAAGCAGACCCTCCAGATTCATGACTAACGTTTGCACGAACGGCTCATCTGTTTCGTATCTCAGCAATTCGTCCTGTGAAAATATTATTCATTATAATTCAAAAGACCATACTCTACCGGCGCGAGATTTGTTCTTGAAGAGCATACCTCATTGATATGATGGTCAATTGAGAGAAACGCGTCGACCCACGGTGTGACTCTGGGTTTAACGGCGCTGACGCGTAGTTGCTCCAAGCCGTAATCGATAACACCTCGTAGGACCAGTATGACTTCTTTCAGGCTGGATAAGCAACTGTCGATTTTACCCCTATCCTTATTCTGCATATTAGGAAATGTCGCATCTATTTCCGCATTGAGGCTCTTGTACAGTGTCTCGACGTACTCTGTACTCACATCAGTGTTATTTAAGTACGCCTGTAAATGAGAGAGATTTTTTCTTAAAAGACTCTTAGATGTACAAATATTAAAGAAAGCCAATGAAAGTCAGCATAGGATGTATGTTGCTGGGGAAGATTCATATATTTTATTAGGATAAATTATATGAAGAAGAGTCAAACGTAAAATACGTACAACGTAAATGTAATAAAACTCGTGAATTCTAGCAACATACCGCGCTGGCTTTTATTGGCCTTCTTTAATATTTGAAAGATAAATATCATACAAAACTGTACATGTAATACAAATAATCATTATCATCGAATAAAATAAAATAACAAATAATATGTCAGCCATGGACTTCAATTCACCAAGAACATAAGACGAGCGTATTCAGTATCCGATGTTTGCAAACGGCCGTGCTGTATGCTTGTCTGAAGAGCGCTATATGCCTGTGCCAGGTCCAAGTAGCCTGCCGGATAACCCTGGCGTAATCTGTTTCTCAACCAATTCGCAAACTCACTTTCCAGAATGCCGCAAGCCATATTGACGACGGCGCAAACGCCGTCTATGCTCCAACTAGACATGGCACGTCTACAGAAGTAATATTTTTTAGCTTCTCAATAGAGATAAGACGAATTCGTGCAAGGGATAATGTCTTGTGTCATAGAGCGTGAACTGAGTTGCTTCTATATTTAGTAAAGGTGAAACTAAGCTACTCCAGAAGAAAAAGGCACAAACTAAACGTGATATTCGATGTGATACGTACCGCACGCACTTCTGCACTATGAAAAACACATCGTCAACCATGCTTGAAGTTTGCTGGTCAGGATCCAACGTGTCCATTCCCAGCGCCTTATTTACACTTTCCTCGAGGAAGTATCTTTCTAACGCGAGATAAGTGCCGAGCAACTCCTGCATCCCGTGCGCCAATTCGGAATTGTTCACAGTTGTTTCGAATTCATTTAACAAATCCGTGCGTTGCGTTTCGTCAGTTGTACTGATTTCGATGTCGTTCTGCAAAATAAATGTTTCATTAATGCTTCGCTGATTATACGATGTATTACAGTTTCTATGATATCAGTGAATATTTTTCTGCAACCTTTACTCTTCTTCTCAAGAAACGTATGTAAAGTTTTGCTCTTGAATGCATTATTGTAATTTCGCCTAGGAGCAGATCGAGTCCTTTAGGATCGATTTTCTCAGGATTCGGTTTACGCAAATAATCATTTATCACTTGTACATTCTTAGATATAGATCTCATTTTCATGAACACTGTAATAATTTTCTTCACTTGCCTATTCATGAAATATAAATTAACGTCATTATTTCACATGTACGAATATCTAAGATTTAGTATACATCCCTCTATAGAAGCATTTTTTACCTATCGCACTCTTTTTGCAAAATTGAGATTGTCATTAGAAGTCTACCAGGGCCATAATAAGTTTCAATTATCGGCTGATGTACTTCTATAATGCGCGCAATTCCTTCGAATAAGAGAGTCATGACGTCAGCAAAAATAACAGCCACTCTTTTATCATTATTTTTAATTTCCAATGCCATTTGTAGATTCTTCTGGGCAGTCTCATGTAGCTAGTATATATATATAAAATAAATAGGATAAAAAAACATATCTTCTTAATAAAAAGTTAAATTATTCTTTGTGAATCAATAAATATTATGTGATATAATAAACATAATTTGATATTGTATCATACTTTGGTACACAAGTAACTGCAAAATTTCTTGAGTCCTTCTAAGTGCATTCCCAATAATGGAAATATCTTGAAAAATCTCTCAACAGATGCCAAATCCTCAGATTTCACAGCCTCATCAAATTTATGAGTGACAACCGCTCTCAATTCCATTGCGGCTTGCTGCAAGGTAACCAGAGAACTGCTGATGCTAGTATGATCTCCTGATACATCTTCAGCTGTTCTCTCCAGCAATTGCTGATCCATTAATAGGTAACGATGGACATGAGCAGCACCTTGTTCATAATCCTCATTGCGTAGTGCTGTTGCCACTCCTTTGCTACATAATTGCAAATCTAATATATCATTTACTCTACTTTGGCATTCACATACTCTGCTCTGTCAAACAAGATAATAATATTTAATTATATGCAAATAATAAACAAATAATCAAGTTTTATTTACAAATAATATCGATTATAACTTACTCTTGCTAAATCTAGTTGCCTTACTTTGGCACTAACATTTTCTGCTAGTTCATTAGTACGAGCAATCATATCACGAAACTTTTCCCCTTCTGTATGTATTATTATCACATTTGGTAACACTTTGCCAATATTCTGTAGCTTTGCTTCCACGTGACATCTTCGAGCAAGGATTGTATCTAAATTTTTCTTTATAGAAACCTATCAATATATTAACTTTTTATTCTAGGAATGTATAAAAAAACTGAAAAACTGAACTGTGTGGTATCTAACACAGATAATTATTTTTTAGTAGCAAGTTCTGTGGTGTACCATCAGCCAAATATATATAAATATATATAATACAAACCTCATCTTCAGACAGTTTATTTAAGATGTATTGTACATTTTCCTCATTTACTGGCAAATCCATATTATCAACAATATTATTTGCATTAATTAGTGATTCAACGATTTGATTTTACAGCACTGGAATATATCACATTAACATTTTTCCGCACGTTATATATTATACTGCCGTTTATTCTCATTTATCGCATAAACAAGGATTACACGTTGCATTTTGCCACCATATACGACTCAGTTACACTTTCATGTACTTTCTACACTCAGAAAAATAAAAGTGTCCGTTCTTAGTGTCGTGTGAGAAGCTAAGGAAGGGAAGAGTAAAAATATAACAAAAGGCAAGCATTTCATATATTATTCGAAGACATGTTTTCTACATTTCGAACCAATCAAATCATTATATAAGTCACGACAATGATCCCGACGTAAAAAAAGGAATCAGATAAGAATCAACAATTTTAACCTATATTATTTCGCATTTAGCTTATGATACAAGTGTTTGATTTTATACTTTTATTTGTACTATATGGAAATTATAATGAATGTTATAGAAATTAATTATTACTAATTAGTATTTATATTACAACTGAGCTCGTTTATGTCGAGTCTGAAGTGCTGTTTCGAGTGCGACGTTTGAAAAGCGCGCGTTTAGTATGGCGTTTAGTATCGAAGTAGCAATGACGTCACACGCATTGCGCACGACGTTCGCTTGAAGTGAGGTGCGGGTGCAAGGGGCGAAAGAGGGGGTGGTCGGGGCCTCCTCGCGCATCTTACGCGTATTCCCGTACGGAAAATGGCTGCCAGCTGTCACTCGGCATCGAAGTGCGGCTTGTTGTGAAGGGACACGACACGAATTCGGCGCAGGGCGGTTCTCCGGGCGCGCGAGCACGCCGCAGGAGCGCGATGAAATTACATAACAACGTGCGGCTCGCTGGCTGAGTTCGACGGGATCGCCGAGAGCGCGTGAGAGAAAGAGAGGGAGACAGAGAGTGGCGCGGGAGAGTACGAGTGCGCGGTGCGCGGCGACGGGGCCCCCACGGTGTTGCTTCCACAGTGCCATGAGAGTCTGGCCCGCTTGGCTGTTTACAGTTTTTATTTTTCGCCAAGCGCGCGACGACTAGTGCGTGTCTACGCCCGGCGCTGCGGCCGGAGAGAGAGACGATTTCTCTCCACGACCACGACCCGCTTGCCCGTGAACGGTCGGTCGAATCGAGCTCGCGACGGTGTACCGATATTCCAATATTCCTGCTCCGCTCGTGCTGCCGTAATACGAGACTCCCCCGGGAGATTTCTCCCGACCGACGCTTGCAACCCCGAGGACGCGCATAGTCAAGGTAAGATTTCGCACGAAAACGAGACGCTCCTGTGTGTTATTAGTGACGATGGCTTAATATATATTACATATTATCTTTATATATATATGTATATATGTATATGTATGTGCGACTAATGTATGTGATTTTTGCTAACTTTTCTTTATGGGGATGAAATAGGATGATAATTTGTGTGTTATCTTCTTACTTTATTCTTTATTTTCTCTAATAGATTAGAGCAAAGTTAATCTGGTTAATATTAAAGTAATGACTGTGCTCCATGATTAGCAAATATGATTTATATTGAAACACTTGAAATTTATATATTTTGATTGAAATAATTCATTATAATATAAATTCATATATTGTAATATTAGTGATCTGACAATTGGTTTTTTCTATTTCCAGAGAAGCAGCATGGGTTCCAGTCAACAATTCTCTCTTAGGTGGAATAATTATTTGAAACATATTACTTGTGCTTTTGACACATTAAGGACAGATGAGGATCTCGTAGATGTCACTTTAAGCTGCGAAGGCAAGAGGATCAGAGCACATAAGATGCTCTTGTCAGCATGTAGTACATACTTTAGAGATTTATTTAAGGTAATGATAATACTAATTGATTAATGATAATACTGATTGCTATATTCATGTAATCAAATATGAAAATTTTCTTGTTATAACCACCACTTGTTATATTACAGGAAAATCCGTGCCAGCATCCTGTCATAATATTTCGTAATGTTAAATTCGACGACCTGGCTGCCTTGGTAGACTTTATGTATCAAGGCGAAGTAAATGTTGTTCAAGAACAGTTAGCCAGTTTTCTCACAACAGCAGAGCTGTTAGCAGTACAGGGTTTGACAGATGGTACGGGAAAGGACAACGACAGTTTAGAGGTAAGATACCGACAGTAGAACAATGTAAACAGGTGTCTGATAGACAGAGATTACTCATGCGTTATACCATTCCACAGGATGACATAGAAATCCCAAACGAACCTGAGGTACAGCTGCAAAACACTTCTGGAAAATCATCAGGTGAAAAGAGAAACAAATCGCCCTCTTCCCCGATCCCGTTTCACTCCGTCGAATTACAGCCCGAGGTGCATCCGAACAAGAGAAGAAAAACGCGCGACAGCACGAATGCGAACGCGGAGAAGAATTCGGCGGGCAACAGCGCATCGGGGAAAGATACCGATGGCAAGACGTCAGATAGTCAAAACAGATCAGGTTCTGACCCAGTCGAAATAATCCCCCTCATGCCGAGTCTGAAGCTGGAGATGCCCGAATACCTGGAACAGGACGGCAGTAGCTGTAGTTACGAGGATCAGAGTTTGGGGGACAACCCACTTAACAAAAACACCTTAGACGATACGTCGTCAACGCCAGATCACGACCAGAAACTAGACATCAGTCAGACATTTTACTCGAGTCAATCAACGTCGGACGGTTTGGATGGCAAACACCAGTCAGATGTCGGTAAGTATCTTTCGTCGCAATCTTTAGAATTCTAGACGTGACTAAAGTTGAATTCGCTCTGACGGGAGTTTTTGATACTAGAAACGTTTCGTCTTTCAGGACACCTGCTTTCCAAACCGAGCACTTCGGGAGAGAGGTTAGCGCCGGAAATAGTACAGGGTAAGTGGTTATCCATCTTTCTTTTATCACGTATGAATTACATGATGCAATTTGTTGCCTTGCCATTACGATAAAGATACACATGTGTGCACATGTGTAAGTACAACGCACGTATACTTATTGAATCACCATATTTTCGATAATAAAACTCTGCAATTTGGGCATCTAATATTTAACTAAAATTTTCAAAATCCGTCGCGTTTCAGTCGTAGCTCGAAGTATAAATTATTAAGTCGCAAGATATTCTAATATAATTTTTAAATCAATAATTTTTTGACACAGAGCAACTTATCCAGGTTTAATTTCTATGGTTTGCATGAAATTGATTTTGATTTACAAGTATCAACGCGGTTCACGAGAATTTGACAGTAATGGCAGTGCGATAAGCTTGGAAGTTTTGTATCCACACATGATTCATGTACAGAAATGAGTGATTCTTATTCGATAGTTAGAGACACAAACTTAATACTAAAAACTTAATATTATAAGAAAATTTCATACGTTAATCACAATTATGAATTACTGTTTAGTACATAAAACCGCATTGTGATAACCTCAATGGTGATGGATTAATTGCATGTATTGTGGGTACAAAACCGGTACAGTACCTATAAGCACCTTGATACATGAAGCATCGGTATTTCCTTGTACACGGCAGCTGCTTGCTTTCATGGATTAAGGTTCTGTAACATTTCCTCGACATGACAATAAGAAGGAAGGAAGTTTCCTTGTTATTGTGATATCTATTAAGTTTGAGGGGTAGTTAGTTGACTGAGTTTCACATCGAACTGTATAATGGTTTGGTAGTCTGTGCAGCTTTGCATTACTTATACACGCACACAAATGAGATCAGGGAAAGGGATTAGAATCGAGATCGGAGGCAATGACGTTAGGATTTGCGGTGAAAACGTTTGTCATTGTCTCATGACGACGAATTTCCTGATCAAAAAAAAAAGAAAGAAAAGAAAACGTTTCAGGTCTTTACGCGTCTTTTTTTTTCACACGTGGACCTGGTTCTCATTAGCGTAAAAAGTAAAAAAATACTTAAAGACGGGAAGAACAATTCGCGCGCAACTCTTCGTGCAGTTTCATCGTTACCGCGTTTTTCGTCACTTATTGCAATATCGTGAAATCTTATCTCGTGGTGTCCCGTGAAATACCGTTCGCGGTGCCGTTTAACGTTTCCGCACGACTCTCGCGTCGTCCAGTGGAATCAGATTCGCAGTTTCATCGTGGGCAAATTTCTGTGAACGTAACGATTCGGCGAATATGTACTTAAAGCGCGATACATAATAACGTTCCCCTCGCTGTGATACAAGACTACTTACTCTCTCTCTTTTATTTCCATCGATCCACACGTCGGGATTTTCTTTACTTTAGTGTACAGAGTGCATGGTGTTTTGGATGTAAACGTATGGTACAGGCACTCGGGTGTAGGTTGAACTGTAGATACTTAGTAAGCATTGCCAAGTGCTGTATGTGTGCCGACAATCATCAACATTCCTTCTCAATAACTTGATAAAAGCCACCACTATATTCCTCATGCGCACTAACTGTATAAGCATACTTCTGTGCATACACACTAAAAAAGAACAAAACAGAAAGAAAAACAAAAAGAAGAAAATACCTTTCGATGCTGATCCAAAGCAATTTCTCTTCACGCGACAGTATCTAATTTGTATGTACAGCGCGAATCTCCACTACACACACGCGGTTTATTTGCATGTAACGTAAATCTTAAGTACCGATTTTTCATTCAATTACGAACGAGGAACGCTGCGAGTCGAATTTAATAACGCGGGTTTAATTTACTTCGTCACCGCAATCCTTAGGAAGATCGCTTTAACAAGTTAACTATCGAGTCACTTTACAAACAGTTAAATGAATATTTTTTACATTTAATATTATATACTTACGATTTATTTATTTCTTTATAGAAATAACTATTTCTGCCTCGTTCACTTAAATTTATTGATTTACAACATTTATGCGTGTTTGCTTAACGGCTCGACAACTCGACGAAGTAAAAGCGGCGTTTTGACGAGAGAACATCCCGAAATGAATCCGCATGGAATAACCATCGTGTTCGCGGTATGCAAGTTGACTCGCGGTATCTTCGCGTTAATTGAAATTATTCGGCTCACGCCCGATCGCGAGCGTACGCGCTCGTGCTCGCTCCCGAATCGGGATCGCAGCATCGCCGCGTCCGTCCGAATCGACCGACGAGAATTAGATGAACTTTTGCAAAATGTATAACAGACTCCGTCGCAGAGGCTCGCGCAGCCTCGCCTCGAATGCAGAGACTAATTCTGAAGTAGTCAGGTGGTGGTGCTCTGGTGACAGTGGCATGCGTGCAATCTTTTTTCCTTCTTATGCTCAGCAATTTGAGACCGATTCTTTCCCCTCATTGTACGACGCAAAACTCTATCTGAAGTATATTGGTGCGTGGGAAATGCGGCGATCAGGTTGGATCGATACTCCTCCGGAACTCGTCATTCGCCGGCGTTATCATGCAGAAAGCTCCCGTATTAAGCGGAATATAAGAATTTTGACAAATATCTTAGATTTATTTGTTGTTATTTGCATCGGATCTCGAATGCAACGTTACATGGATTCAGAAAAACTCTTCAAGATAGTCGAGTTTATTCTCGTGTTTCTGCTTATCGATTGCGATGCACTCTTTGAACGTTAGATGATTGCGAAACTTGTTGTTCTGTGATATGAAGTCGGTTTCGTCGATATAATCTTATCCTGATACTGTTCCAATACAACTTTGTGTGACTTTGTGTGACAACTTTGTTTTGATCGTTTACAATGAGTCGGGAAGTATATTGTGATCATGTTCAGTAAATTCATTCTTCTGGTATTAAAATGTGTTTGTAGTCGTAATCGGCAAAAAAAATGTGTCACGGAAACGAAACGTGCAGGTCGAACGTAATGACGTGTCTCGGAAGACTATCGATCGTCCATATATCCGACGTTCTCCTCAAGAATCTCACGAGTTTGAGAATGACGAGGAACGTCCCTTGACCCCCCGACCCGAAATTCTTTGCTTGCCGGTGTATGTTCACGGCACGCCCGAATGAGAGAAACAAAAAGAGAAATGAAATGAGAAATACGTGTTTCGGCAGGTAGGTAATCCAAGTTTTAACAACGATCGCTAAGACAGTAGCATGAATTTCAGTAGTCACGAAGACATCAAAAAGCTTGTTCCTTCATTGTTCAAGTAGAATTCATCATCGTATTCACGTGTCTTCGCGTGACGCGACCCGTTGCGTTTCGCCTCGAAGTCGCGTTTTGCTTCGAAGTTCATCTCGCGCCTCCTTTTTAATCACTATCCGACATGTAAGCTGAGATTAAACTACAGAATATACGTTGAACGATACGACACCTTGGCTCCAAAACATTCGCAGAGATCGAAATTGCAGAAAAAAAAAACAAAAACTAGAACACTATTATGAATTTCAGAATGTTGCACTGAGAGAAATTATCCAATAAAAAATTATCAAACGGATGTTTTTAATCAAATGTCACATCCATTTTTATATCCTATATTTTAATCAGGAAATTCGATGAGAAATAATAATAATAATCGGTTCTTAATTTTTTGACCGATTTATCAGGTGAAATGTGTCATTATAATCGAAAGTATCAGATTGAGTTTAATCGGATACAAAAATTGGTCGGAAATATCCATTTGATAATTTTTTGTCGGATAATTTTTCTCAGCGTAATGATACATCACCGCTCAATCGGTGGATATCAATTTCGTGGGAATAAAATAATATAAAATGATATATCAGGTATAAAAATCATCCATAAATTAACTCGAGATATCCAGTCACCACTTGGAAGCACCTAGGACACGTAAATTTTGTCTACCTCCGCGTAGTGACTGATACCAGCGTGTGCGGATCCCCTGCCGGAGCACGTCGGTCTCGCCTCATTGCCAAGGTATCGGATCGTTCCTGAAAATCACCGGCACGCGACCTCGCCGATGGCGTTGCTTGCGCATGGCGTCGTTGGGACACGCGACGCATCGTCGCTGAAAGTATCGCGATCGAGGCCGACGCGACAGAACGAATAAACGAATGAACAAGCGAACGTCGAGAACGATGCGACGAAAACTTTGCGTGGGACTTCGCTAGAGTCCCGTATTTGCTAGAGCGAAGCCGACGTTAATTCACCCTACCCGATCGACAATCGACGATCTCGTCGCCAGGTGCGCATTTGCTTAAAACACCGAGCTCGATTGATGAAGGCGATAGCTTTCGCCGTGGCTTTCCGCCGTTGATTGTTGCGACCCGCAACCCGGGTATCGATCTCGCGAGTCGCGCGCGGCAGGAGGTCGAGGAAGCTCGAGAAACACGCGAGACACGAGAGGCACGCGAGCGTCCTGATCAATTACGTGCGTCAGCGTCCTCGTTGCAGCGTCATCGACCGCACGAAAAGAGATTCTCTCGACAACTTCTCCGACACGCGGCTAAGGAAGTCGCTCTGTAGCGACGGGAGCTGCTTTGGTAGCTGCTCCAGGAACTCTTGGCTGAACGACGGCATCTCCTCCCTAAGGTCGTTTGATCGCCAAAGAGGATAAAACGGAAAGGGGCACAATGTAGAAGAATACTAGTCGCTAACAAGTCGCCTTACATTTGTCTGAGTAGAATCGATCACAAGTTGAGACAAGATCGAAAGAGTTCAGCAGGAAGGAACAGAGCCCGGACACGATCCGGAAGTGTGTCAAGTTCTGGCACGCCCAAATGTGTCCACGTGGACACTCGTTTTCTTTCCCCTCCAAGTGCCCGCGTGCTGACCGAAGGAGAAAGAGACCTCACTTAGTGTCAGAGCGACTCGTTGACGTAGGACGGGCGTGAAAATAATAAAAAAAAAAATGAGAGAAGAAAACTGGAAATATCGTGCAAATTCTCCCCCGGAGAGACGCGCGAGGACGAGATACAGGACGACCCGCACATCAAATTTAGCACATGGCAATGCTATCGTAC